CCCACAGATGGAAAATGGAGATATGGGAGAACTGAGGAACTTATCTGTGACTGCATTCTCTGTTCTAAATTTCCCCTGGAGGGCCTGTCACACCCATCTTAATATTCCTTTCGGCTAATCCAAGACTCTTTGAATCCACCTATTCTGCCTCTCCCCCTTTCTTTCTGGGTCAGGCCAATGTATAACCTCCATGCGTTGATTCATAATTTTGCCTGCCTGAAATGTACCCCTGCCTTTAAAAACTCTGGATTGTAAACCCTTGAAGAGTTCAGGTTTTAAGTGTTAGCTGCCTGTTCTTGCATGGCGCCATTCAATTAAAGGGCCTTTCTTCTGCTGCAACTCTTGGCTTCAGTGTCTGGCTTTGCTGCGGCAGGTGAGCAGATCCCAGTTTGGTTCTGTAATGGTCGCACTACAAAGGAGAATTTTCTATCTGCTGGAGCTGTCCAGAGATGGACCTGGTAGCCTCAGGAGGGAGTGAGAGCCCTGATTATAACAGCAAGTGTATGTTTCATATATAGTATGTGCTAGGCCCTGGGCTGACAACTTCATTAGGGATTTCTCATCTAATCCTTCCAACAAACTTGTGATGTAAGGCTATTGCCAGTCCCATTTTGCAGATGAGGGAATAGGCCGAGAGAGACCAGGTGCCAAGGTCCCATGGCCAGGAAGTGATGGAGTGCAGCTTCCAAACTGGGCAGTCTGACTTTGGAGCCCCCGTTATTGCTCACTGTGATATTCTGCCTCCTTGGTCCTGTGACTACAGCCTGGGCTGGAGGATGATTGTCAGAGATTCATTCACATATTCAAGCAAAAAAACCATCAGGGACCAGCAATACGCTTCAGGAGCCATGTCTGGAGCTTGGATAGAATGAATAAGGCACAGATCCTGGTCTCAAGGATCTTATAGCCCAGCACAGTGTTGTGCTCACAGAACGCTGCATCCAGCTTCTCTTTCTGCAGCTGGGTCTCCTTTGGGCCTGTCCCAGACCCCAAATACTGAGGGGCATTGCCATTCTAAACCATGTTGGTCTTTTGGAAGCTTGAGGGAGGATTGGAAGACTTAGGGTGCATATCAGTCTATGCGACAGAAACTTGGCATAACCTTGACCTTTTGAGGGTGGTGGATTGGGAATCAGGAGGCCTGTGTTCCATATAAATTTATCAGGCAACAATAAGCACCTCTATGGACCTCAGTTTCCTTGTTGGCAAATTTCTGAGGTCCCTTACCAAAGTCCAAAATTCGGTTTACTTCTGGAATGTGCTTGTGTGATATTGTAAAATATCTATTTGGTCTTCCACCCCGGTTCCTGACATACAACTCCTAAATCCTCAGACTCTCCAAAGTGATGTCTTTTTTGTGCTAATGAGTAGACTGGTGGCTGGCAGCCCCTAGTAAGTGGCTTCAGGATGGGCCCTGGTCTCCTGGAAGACCAAAGGATGACTACAGGGTTAGGACTTTCAGCTCCAGCCCCCAACATCTGGAGAGGGGAGAGGGGTTGAAGGTTAAGTTGATCATGAATGACCAATGGTTTAATCAATCATGCCTATGTAATGAAGCCTCCATAGAAACCTAAAAGGACAGGGTTTGCAGAACTTCCAGATGGCTGGACACACGGAAGTTCCTGGAAGGTGGTGTGCCCCTTCCCACATGGCTTATCTTAAGCATCTTTTCATCTGTGTCCTTTGTAATATCCTTTATAATGAATTGGTAAATGTGTTTCCCTGAGTTCTGTGAGCCACTTTAGCAACTTAACTGAACCCAAGCAGGGAGTCGTGGGATCCCTAATTTGCAGCCAGTTGGTCAGAAGTACAGGTGAAACAATCCGGAGCTTGCAATGGGCATCTGAAGGCAGGTGTGGGGAGGAGTTTTGGGGACTGAGACTTTTACCCCGTGGGATCTGACGCCGTCTCCAGGTAGATAGTGTCGGAATAGAAGTGAATTAGAGAAGACCTGTTGGTGTCTGTTGCAGAATTGATTGCCTGCTCCTTGGTGGGGAGAAATCCCCACACATGTGGTTACAGAAATCTTCTGTGTTGATGATTGTTGTGGTGTGAGAGCAGAGGAAGAACAGTTTTGAGTTTTTTCCTAACTTACCTCTCTTGTAGTAATAGGAATCTTCAAAATGGGACAGCGGGCAAGTTCCTGTCATGAGGGGGCTGGAAAACCCATAACTGTTGGCTCTGTTCCTGCTTAGGAGGTGCTTGAGACAGGAGAAAGCTCTGGGTTCAGTTATGCTTCAAGTTTCATTGATTTTTTTCTACTCTTTTTATGCATTTTCAATTTCATTGTTTTCTGCTCTTATCTTTAACATCTCTATTTACTTTGGGTTTAATTTGCTCTTTTTTAACTTCTTAAGGTGAAAGTTTACATTTAAAACATTTCTTCTTTTCTAATATAAATATGTAAAGCTGTAATTTCTAAGTATTGCTTTTAGTTGCCTCCCTCAATTTCTGATACATTGTTTTTATTGTTACTCAGCTCAGATTCTTTCAAATTTCTCTTATCATTTCTCTTTTGACCAATGGGTATTTATTTTTTATTTTTTTTATTTTTATTTTTGAGACAGATCCTCATTCTGTTGCCCTGGTTAGAGTGAGTGCCATGGCATCAGCCTAACTCACAGCAACCTCAAACTCCTGGGCTCAAGTGATCCTCCTGCCTCAGCCTCCCGAGTAGCTGGGACTACAGGCATGCACCACCATGCCCGGCTAATTTTTTTTTTTTTTTTGCTATATATTTTTAGTTGTCCAGATAATTTCTTTCTATTTTTTTAGTAGAGACGGGGTCTTGCTCTTGCTCAGGCTGGTCTCCCAATGGGTATTTATTAATAGATATATATTGCTTATTTCTAAGTGGTTGGGGATTTTTCAAATATCTTTTTGTTATTGATCTATTAATGGATCAATACAATAACAAGTTCAAGTTCACTGATCCTTTATTCTGCTGTCCAGTCTGCTGTTAAGGCATCTAGTGAATTTTTCATTGCACATACTATAATTTTCAGTTCTGGAATTTCCATTTAGTTCTTTTTTATTCTTCCCATTCCTCTGTTGAGATCTGTTAACTCATGATGACCATTTTATCCTTTCAGTTGTTGAATATATTTATAATAGCTGTTTAAAGTCCTTTCTGCTGATGCCAACTTCTGGTCATCTCAGGTTGTTTCTATTGACTGCTTTTTCTTTTGGCTATGGGTCACATTTCCCTTCGAGGACTTTTTTTTCCCCCCTTTCACATGCCTTTTAATTTTTCATTGTATATTACACATTGTAGATAGTTATACTTTAAAGACTAGATTCTGTTGTCTTCCACTGAAGGGTATTGATTTTTGTTCTAAGGGGCAGCTAAATTACTAGTTGATTACCTTGGACTTGTTGAGGCTTGGTTTTATCCTTTGCTAGTATGAGTCAGCTTTGGTTTTGACCTTAGTCTCAGAACAAATCTTTAGTCCTAGGTTATAGATTTTAGCTGTACCATGTGGCCTTTGGGAGTTTTAAATGGAAAGCCTTAAGTGCTTATCCAGCCTTTCTGACGTGGTGGCATTCAAACTCAAACTCTTTCTCTGTTGCAGTGGGTAACAGTTGAAATCTCTGTTCAGCAATTTCAGACCTCCACTTGTTGCCTTTTGCTGGGCTCCTTGGAGATTCCTCCATCCATACTTCAGCAGTCAGCCTACAACTTGAGAGGGGTTTATATACGTATTGAAAGGCTTCCCCTTCTGTGGCTTCTTTCATTCCAGGAAATCCACCTTCAATTTTCAGCAGCTCTGAAGTCTCAAACTCTGTCCTCTGACTCTTAAAGCCAAGAAAGGCTGAGGCTTTCTGCTTGAGTTCTAGCTGTCCCATGCCACTTATACTGGGGAGTGCTCTTAGGAAAAAATCCATTTAGATGTAGAGGTTCCTTTCATTCAAGAGTTGAGTCCCTTTCAGTTTCTGCCTCCTTTTGGATAACTTAGGTGCTTTCAAATAGTTTTTTAAAAATGTTTTGTCCAGAGTTCATAATTTATTACCCATAAGGGGATTCACCTGGTTAACTCTTTTGCCATTACTGGTCTATCCTTTCACTTTTAACTTATCTATACTTCAAGTGCAACACTTTTAACTCATCTCTATAATCTACTGAGGTGGAGAAGAAGATACATTCATAAAGCCTGAAGTGTAGTGTTGAGTGCAAGCACAGTGGAGCTTACAGCAGAGTTGGCATCGCTGGGTTGGGCTTCATAGAAGAGGTCTTGGCGAGGTGGCCAGGCAGGACCTGGATGAACAGACAGGAGGAAGACTGTGGCAACCTGTTGAGCTAAGGGCAGGGGAAGGTAGACATGAATATGGTGTGAGAACAGTAAGTAGACCAACCTCAACCTGGGTAGAGGTCTGAGTAAGAAGGGTACACTCTCCAGAGAGTTTCAACATGAAGAAATGGAGGCTGCCTGGCTCAGGGATGCCCTAAACCTCTAGGCATGGACAGTTGCCTCTGTCCTATTTGATCAAGGCTGTTTACTGAGGTGCTTCCAGGGCACACCCTACTCTCCACCCCTTCTTGCAGCCTAAGGCTGATTCCCAGCCACTCTGGACAGGGAGACTTATATGGGCATTTTCTACAAAGGGGCAGATGAGATGCAGATTAGGGATGTAGCTGTGCCAGAAGCCAAAAGGAGAGAGGTGCTCTCTGTAGCTCCATTCAAAGAACAATAACAAAAAGGTGGAACCATCTTCATTAAGTATGGGTCATGCTTCCCAGGCTTCAGGGAGCCTTCTTCTATTTATCCCAGCACCCAGCATTGCATATCCCGATTCTTTTATCCTCTGAAGAACACAATCGGCTTTGGGACCACAAAAGGAGGTTTAGGTAGGGGTTTAGGGATCCCTAATCCCAAACTTATTTGTCCTTGAGAGACTTAGGATAAGTACTATCATTCATGGAGCCCACGTGTCTTTAGAGGAGGGGGGTGGTGGTGGAAGGATAATCTATAAGAGGAATCCAAGGGAGTGTGGGGCATCCCATGCGTAAGATGTCAGGGGAAGAGGAGTTTTATCTGTTCAAGAATCTCTCCTCGGTGGGGCCGTGGGATGGGCCTCAGTACCACCTTGCCCCTGTCTGGGCCTTCTACCTCCAGGCAGCTTTCATGGGCTTTGTCTTCTTTGCAGGGACACCACTCAATGTCATGGTGCTGGTGGCCACACTGCGCTACAAAAGGTTGCGACAGCCACTCAACTACATTCTGGTCAATCTGTCCTTTGGAGGCTTCCTCCTCAGCATCTTCTCTGTCCTCCCCGTCTTCATCGCCAGCTGTCGAGGATACTTCCTCTTTGGCCGCCATGTTTGTGCTCTGGAGGGCTTCCTGGGCTCCGCAGTAGGTACTGCAGGGGAAGGGGCTGGAGGAGGCAAAGGACACTACTCAAAAGCAGCAGCCTTTTGGGTTGGAGGGGGTCCCTAAAGGAGTCTGGGGGAAAGGAGTTTGGTGCTCTTTTGAATACTGGGGTACAAAGCAGCCCAAACTAAAAGTTGGACCAAAATGGGATGTTTGAGTTTTCACTACACTCCAGACATCAGGGCAACCCTTCCCATTTCTGTGCCTGCTCCCCCCCATCTGAATTCCACTCTGCCAGCCAGGCTGGCTGGGCTCTGTCTACCCCATTCTCCACGTTTTGCCACAGGTCTGGTGATAGGCTGGTCACTGGCCTTCCTGGCCTTTGAGCGCTACGTTGTCATCTGTAAGCCCTTCGGCAACTTTCGCTTCAGCTCCAAGCATGCACTGATGGTGGTCCTGGCTAGCTGGACCATTGGTATCGGCGTCGCCATCCCACCATTCTTCGGCTGGAGCCGGTGAGTGCAGGGCAGTGGTACTGACTTACCAAGGAGCTTATGCCGGTGTGGGTGGAAAGAGAGCTCAGCTATGTCAGTTTTTGACCTCTACTCTTTAAAGAGTTAGAGTTATAGGTGAGGTGAAAGGGCTGTGGGAGATGAGTGCTAATGTCTGCAGTTGGAATTGCTGTAATCCCCCTGCCCGAAGCCTGCTGGCATTCTCTGGGTTCTAAGTGAAGAACATGATCCAGGAATCTCAGCTCCCATGCCACTAATGCTTGTGGAGAGCCCACAGCGAGCAAGTGCTTGTCCCGTGGCTGAGTGCCTGGTCCTTTGCAGGTTCATCCCTGAGGGTCTGCAGTGTTCCTGTGGCCCCGACTGGTACACCGTGGGCACCAAATACCGCAGCGAGTACTATACCTGGTTCCTCTTCATATTCTGCTTCATCGTGCCTCTCTCTCTCATCTGCTTCTCCTACTCTCAGCTGCTGCGGGCCCTGAGAGCTGTGAGTGGCTTTTGAGAGAGTCAGGGAGAAGTGGGTCAGGGGGCTGCAGGTGAGGGAAGAGTGGGTGAGTACTCTAGAACATAAGACATCTGGGCATCTAAAAGAGTGAGGAAGTGGGAGGAGGGAGAATGATCAAGGAGGGCCAGAGGAATTAGACCCGAACTGGAATGGAAGATGGGCAATCAGAGTGGATCCCCTCCGCCAATAGACAAGCATCAGGACAGCTGGGAGTTGAGGGCCAGGAAGAGGGACGTGCTGCTCTCTGTGCTCTGCCCCAGGCTGCAGCTCAGCAGCAGGAGTCAGCTACGACCCAGAAGGCCGAGCGCGAGGTGAGCCGCATGGTGGTGGTGATGGTGGGATCCTTCTGTCTCTGCTACGTGCCCTATGCTGCCCTGGCCATGTACATGGTCAACAACCGTAACCACGGGCTGGACTTACGGCTTGTCACCATTCCTGCCTTCTTCTCCAAGAGTGCTTGTGTCTACAATCCCATCATCTACTGCTTTATGAATAAGCAGGTAAAGCTCTCTACTCATATTCCTATGAGACCCTGGTCCAGAAGACCCTGTTTCTTTTCTCGCCAATGACTTTTAACTCGGAACACCCTGGACTACTCAGAGGGTTTCTAGGGGTGGACCAGGGAAGCCCTTGGTAAACACAGGAGGATGTGATCATCAAGATAATGGAACCCAGGGAGGATAGAACTGGAGGCAGAAAATGAAGCTGTTCCAAAGAGCAGGATGAGAAAAGGTTTTGTTTTATTGAAAAACTCATAGATGAATAATTCTTGTACATTTCTAGTTCTTGCATTTCACGAATTCTTAATTCTTTCCCTTCCAACTTCTAGCCTGCAGGTGCATGTGTGAATCGCAGATATCACAACACATGCATAAATCTCTCAAATATCTCACCGTCTGAAGGTGCCAGGGAGCTTCCAACCTTTAACCCCAAATCTGAGCTAATAAAGCGCAAACTCAGATGAATCTAGGAGAGTTCCTGTCTTTTAAGGCAAAAACTCTTTCAGAATTGTTATTTTGTTTCCTCAACCCCAGAGATAGATTGAGAACTAATTTGATATCTACTGGATGGAAAAGAATTGGCAGTCCTTTCCAGTTGGGAGCACCTTCTAGTAATGGTGCGGTGGGTGGGCCTACTGTGGCACTGCAGGTTTGTGAAGTTTCCCAACAGTGAGGCCTCACTCGGCCAGAATGCTTGGGGATTATTATTGTAGATCCAGGAGTAGTGAGTAGTTCTAGACTGGTATCTACCTAGTTTTCGGGATGGAAAAGATACATTCAAAATCACCTGGGAACATCCTGGGTATGTGTGAGCTTTGGGGATACAAAGAATGAGATCTTTTTCCCCACACTTCTTGCCTGCCAAGGCTATCTCCAATTCTGCCTTTCCCTCCAGTTCCAAGCTTGCATCATGGAGATGGTATGTGGGAAGGCCATGACAGATGAATCCAACACATCCAGCTCCCAGAAGACGGAAGTTTCTTTCTCTTCTAGCCAAGTTGGCCCCAACTGAGGACCCCATATTGACCTGTTTGCAGCAACTAAAATTTTACATTTAAGTAAGTTTCTACTGTCTTTTTGTCAGAAACCAAACTACTAATAACACATAAAAAAGATAGGAAGGGAGTGATGGCAGTTTGCAGAGTCAATTTTTCATTTTCCTACTATTCCCTTCTTGCCTAGAAGCTACTGTTCCCAGCTGGGTCTATTTCAGACCACCCAAAGATCATTTCAATAATCCTCAGTTTCTACCCCTAAGAGGCACCATTCACAGCACTTGGAGAACCAATCTCTTCATACAAGACAACTATAAAGGAGTATGGCTGATTTTTCAGTGTATGGATAACAATTACTTTCCTTTTTAGTAACATTTTTTAAATTCTGAGATGATGTACTCTGAATTAGAACTTAAGAAAACCCTCAGAAGTAGGGGAGATATAAAAAAAAAAAAGAAACAAAAAACCTTTAATAGGCCCCGAATATGAGTTTGAGAGAACTTTATGCTCTGCCAATAATAGCTACAGCTTTGGCAGGACCAGCCACATCCACAAGCCCCTGGGCCAGCATGAATTATTCCAGGTGCTTCCCTTTCTCCCTCGTCCTACTTGGCTAACTGTATTTCTCAAGCTGTGTATTTACTGAATAGTTTAATTCCCTTAATGTTCTCAAAATGAATTTGCATATCTTTTTTTTTTTTTTTTTTGAGACCGAGTGTCACTTTGTTGCGCTGGCTAGGCATCAGCCTAGCTCACAGCAACCTCAAACTCCTGGGCTCAAGCGATCCTCCTGCCTCAGCCTCCCGAGTAGCTGGGACTACAGGCATGCGCCACTATGCCCGGCTAATTTTTTCTATATATTTTTAGTTGTCCGATTAATTTCTTTCTATTTTTAGTAGAGACAGGTCTCGCTCTTACTCAGGCTGGTCTCGAACTCCTGAGCTCAAACAATCCACCCGCCTCGGCCTCCCAGAGTGCTAGGATTACAGGCGTGAGCCACCGCGCCCAGCCGAATTTGTGTATCTTAATGCCATTTATAAACTATACCGAAATGTTCAAAAAAATTGCTTCATCTTATACTCTATACTCTTCCTCCACCCCTCAAAAGAGCCTTTTTGAAGTAAAAATCAAGATAAATGTGTGTACATTCAGGAATGGCTTGTGTCTGGTATGAGATAATTATGTAATGAGCAGCTGGGGTCCTCCCCAGTTACACTGCCTAAGGGAAACAGAGAAGGGTTAGAACTGTAGTGAGAAGGATGCTAGAAGACACTGGAAACTAGGAGGAAAGAGTAACCATTTGGGAGAAGGTAGTACTTTCTCTGGGGTTGGGAGAGGGAACTTCTAGGAGAGTTCCTTTTCTGTGTTATTTTACAGCACCCACAATTCTAAGCTAGAGTTCCATTTCTTAGAGAATGAAGGTCACACATGCCCCATAACGAATGTAAACAGTTTTATTTAGAAACAGATAGGTACCTGTTTGCATTGCAGAATATAAAACTTGGTTTACACTCTATAAAAAATAACCAATATCCAAATTCAAGAGAGCTAGCATTCACAGAACACACAATATGGGTGTGTAGCTACTGTTCAACAGCCTCAGGCTTGATTTAAACAAACAAAAAAATAACCCAAGGGGATCACTAGAGATTAAATTACAATGCTTGCTGCTGAGTCCCCAGCATCTGGAAGTTGCCATTTTGGCAGATTAAGTTTTGCTAAGTGCGTGATTTTAACACAAAGCCTGGGCTCTCTGCACTGAGTGAGCTTTGAAGCTCTCACCAATCAGTTCATGATGCGCCCTAACTAAGCCAGGGTTGGTGGCATTACTAATTATCTCTGGTTTTCTTAACAATAAAAACAGGGAATCCGGAGGGCAAAGAATTTCCATCACTTTATATTGGGGTTAAACTTCAAAAGAGTATATCTACTATCAAGAGCTCAATACAAAGGCTGGGGAGAAGTTACATGATACCTGGCTTTTTACTATACCAAGGAGCCCACCTCAACATGATTGTGGAAGACCAAAGGATATACCTAAGTTCAGATTATAATAATCACCCAGCACCACCTGAATGTATTACCCAGAAAGATACAGGAAATAATAAAGATTATATATACATATGTTTATCTTGGTAACCTGAGGGCTATAAACTTGGAATACCATAATTCCTCTCAAAAGAGATCCATCTGTAAGAAAGAACCAAAAAGAACAGTGTTTGTGTTGCATAAAACATGGGTAAAGTGGAGGTGGGAACAGAAGGTGGTTTCTTCAGCTCTTTCTACAACATCCCTCTTTTTGATAAGGACTTGGCAACCTGTAGCTCCATGATAAACCACCTTTTTTTTTTTGGCAGCAGGGAGATGGGGCATGAGGGGATGGGGTCAAAGGCAGGAAGGGAGAACAATGGTCCTCAAACCAAAGAGCCCCTCTGCAGGTCCTCTCATCTCTGAGTGTGAGCTCAAGCTCTCCAGCGGACACAAAAAGAGGCCTGGTAGTAAGTGGTTTGCATTCTGAGGTATGAGGATCCCTGGTAAATTCAGCAGCATGTGGTTTTTGGAAACCAGCCCACAAGATAAGAATACTGCAACCAAGCTTGTAACTAACACTGCTATTTAACTACTGTCCAAAAGAGAAAGGGAAGAAAAAAAATTCGCCACTATATTGGGAGGTTCTAAGCTTTAATAAAAGGTGTTCAAATAATCTTCTATTTTACCTTAGGGCTTCTTAAGAGAATTCCCATTCAGTGACCATTTCTCTCATTAAAGGCACTTTCAATGATGTGATGGGAAAGGAGTGAATTTTAATTGTAGTGAAACCAAGATTAAGTCCTTGGCACACCTGGGGAAGAGGAGCCGGATGGGGCACTTACAGTGATTTCAACAGGCAAATAATTATGTCGTGAGCATTTCAACAGATGCATACCCAGAAAAAAATATATGCCCTGAAAACACTTGTATTTTTCCTTTAGTTTTCCAGCTGTTTCTATCTATAGCTCTGTAAAGAGATCACATTCACTACTTGATTGATTTTCAAAACACTGGCCCTAACTCTTCCCACCACAGCTGTGCTTGATAAAATTAGCAAACAGCTAGTTCGGGGGGGTGCGGGGAATGAAATCAATTTGGGCCAAGCTTTCTTACAGCACAGGGATCAGTTGCCCAGATAACAGCAGGATCAGTTTGCTGGACCCGTGAGCAACTGAATGTAATATGTGGCCCCTCCTACTTGTGAAATATCAGACTTTTTGATAGGCAAGATTAAGTGTTATCTTTCTAAATATAAATTGTGGAATTGTGGAGTATATTTTTTTTCCTTTTCTCTCTCCTGAACAATTGTTATTGATCTCAGGCTTAAAAAATTAGTTAAGTAAGAATTATAAAAATTATATAAGGGTTGAGAAAGAGTAAAAGGCTAATGTTTGCCTACAAGTGTGAGTCGAGGACCTTGATCCTTCATATCATACTCCCAACCAGAGAACAAATACAAAAATAAACACACCATGTTATACATAATACAAAGTGTAAATCAATAAACACAAGTGTACTAATTTAGAGTTGTTCCTCAGAAGCTCGGTTTCCCTCCAGTGCCTCGGAGAGGAGGAGGAATGGGGACGGGATGGTTTTCATTACGCCTTTTCACGTTTTAAAAAGTTTGTAATAACAGTCTCAGTAGCGCAAACAATTTCATGTGAAACCAGAAGCTGTAAAAATAAATTACTTTTGAGGAAATGCAAGTTCCTCTGTCTGTAGCTCAGAACTCATCATGTCGTACTAGGGCCTCCCCGAAATCTGTGGCCTGGCTGCCAACAAATAAATCATACTTGTCAACAATCTCCTCCTTGGTAAGCTTGCCATCCTGAAATTAGAGAGATCAATGAATTGAAGCCGAATATATTCCTTATCACAAAATCAGAAACACTGCTGAAGAATAATAAGGGGTTAATCAGGATTTAAGATTCTAGTTCCTACTAAATTTAAATGTACACTCGACCCTTATCCTCCCTCTCCCCAATTTACAAAAAGGGAGGAAAATAGCAATTAATACATTTCTTTTATCAAGAAAGTTAAAAGTGGGAGGATGGAAATAATGTAACTCAACAACTCAATACTAGAGATAAAGGTTTGTTTCCTGAGGAGAAAACTCTCCCTTTAGATCAAAATATGGGACATCTCTTACTGATGGGTGAGAGATGGTCAATAATACCTGGACAAATACTTCCAAATGGTCAAGTCATCCTCTAACAGGAACAGCAGACACTGCTGATATCAAGCCTAGTTCACACTTCCACTGTTTCCTATCCACCAGTGAGGTTACAGACACAACCCCAAATGAAGGCTCAGACACTCATCTCAAATACCATCTAGATTCCCCAAGGGATGACTACCTAAGTTTCCTTTTCTCACATATTTCAGGACACAGCTCCTGGCTATTGAAGTGACTCCAAGCAAGAACTCAAAACAGATCAATGCTAAAAAGGCTCTAAGAAAAGAAACTGTATGTGATACTGAAGATTGGCCTAGATAAAAGAATGTTCAGAATACTAAAAATCCCCATCTTCAGATTGATTTTCAGCTTCCTCTAAGCACAGCATTCAAATCTCTACAAAAGGTGAAAGGGCTTAGTGATAACATCACTTTTTTTTTTTTTTTTTTTTTGAGACCCGGTATCACTCTGTTGCTAGGGCTAGAGTGCAGTGGCATCATCATAGCTCACTGCAACCTCAAAACTCCTAGGCTTAAGCAATCCTTCCGCCTTGACCTCCCAAAGTGCTAGGATTACAGGCATGAGACACCATGCCTGGCCAATAATACCACTCTTAATGAACAAAATGTCTCAGATAATTGATCAAGGACAATTTTAACAGACTCCAGAGAAGAGCTTATTTATAACCTACTGCAAAGGACCTAATTTTAAAATGTATATGTGATTTCAGAAGGAAATAACTGGTTTTGAGTAGGTAGAATGAGTCTGTAATAGGTAAAAGAACAAAAGAAATAACAAATCAAAAAAATAGCAGAATTTCCTATTTCCAAAGATAACAGATTATGCGTGCTGGGCACAGGCTACATAAAAAAGCTCTTTTCTGAAGCCCAAGTTCCTCCCATGCTATGAGCACTAGGCAAAGGGATTTCTAAAATGAGATCAGGACCGGGCGCAGTGGCTCTCTCCTGTAATCTCAGTACTTTGAGAGGCAGAGGCGGGAGGATAGCTTGAGGCCAGGAGTACAAGACCAGCCTGGGCAACATATCAAGACCCCATCTCTAAAAAAATAAAAGAATTAGCCAGGAATGGTGGTGTGTATCTGCATCCTAGCTACTTGGGGGCATCACTTGAGCCCACGAGTTCAAGGTTACAGTGACCTATAATCAAACTGCACCCTACCCTAAGTGACATAGTGAGATCCTGTCTCTAATCAATTGCCAAATATTGACCCTTAACTGATTTAGACTAATTAAGGCCTTAAATGTTCTATGTACTTTAATTAACATTTTAAAGACAATCCTCTAGAAACAGACTTCTATCAGGGCTAGATTGTTCAGGCCTGGCCAGACTTACCTTGTTTTGGTCTGATTCATAGACCAAGTGCCTGGCTTCTGCCTCTGCATGATCATAGTCTGAGGGGAGGATCCAATCTTTGGTCTCTTCCTTGTCCATCTTCCCATCACGGTTCTTATCTCGAAACTCAACAAACTGCTCTCGCTCTGTCTTTACCCACTCTGGCTCATCGGCATTTCCATCATGGCTGTACATGTCACCTGGGTGCACAGACACACACAAAAGAATGGTTTGTCTTTTTCCAAAGATTGCCTCATGCTAATCTGGCCTAACCCTTCTTCCTCATCCATCTGTTTGGAACCTCACAGCAGTTAAATGGGTATTTGAGTGACATGAGAACAAAGAGAGTCCTTATACCTAAAAAAAAATGCAGAAATAGGCTAGATGCAGTGGCTCACACCTGTAATCCCAGCACTTTGGGAGGCTGAGGTAGGAGGATCGCTTGAGGCCAGGAGTTCAAGACCAGCCTGGGCAACATAGCAAGACCCTGTTTCTAAAAAAAAAAAACAAAGTTTTTTTTAATTAGCCAGATGTGGTGGTGTGTGCCTGTAGTCCCAGCTGCTTGGGAGGCTTAGACAGGAGGATCGTTTGAGCCCAGGAGCTCCAGGCCACAGAGACCTATGATCATATCACTGCACTCAAGCCTGGGCAACAGAGCAAAATGCTGTCTTAACAAAACAAAACAAAAAACAAAAACAAAACAAAAAGCCACCAGTGGGGTTTTTTACCCCACTGAAATAAGAAAAGACTAGCATCAAGAAAAAGACTAGTTGTTCTCTACATTTTATTTCACCCCAAGGTGCTAATTAAACTGGACCACTGGTTTTTAGGAAGGTACAGTTTTAAATTCTCAAGGAAGCCTGAAAAGTATGTGTTATAAGGCAAAGCTGTCCACCAAGCAATTACTACATAAAGTGTGTTACACCAGTGGCCTTCAGTTGGGGTAACTATGTCCCTGGGGAAACAAGAACACCGTCAAGGAGTACATTGGGAAAGGCTGGTCACAAGAGAATCAAATTCCAGATCCTCAATTCCACATACAGTTTTTCCTAAAAATTTATCAGTTTAAGAACGTATCCCTGTCTATCAAGCCTTCTTTCCTGTCTCACCTTTCACAATTGCCCTTTCCCAGTTTATAAAAGAAAGGCATATTCTCACCCATCTTGGAACTTACTAGATTGTAAAAAGCCCCAAGATGACAAAAAAGGGACAATTAGAAATATTAGTGTTGGTTTCAAGGAATAGATGTCTGAAAAAAACGAGTAACAAATTCTTTTGCATGTCAAGAGGTTTCCAATTCTTTGCTTTTTGAAAAACTAAAAGAGAGCCTAATTGATTTTTAGCTAAGAGATCATTAAAAATAATTGACGATAGATCACATGACTTTTGGCATATAACTCAAAAGAAGTTTCAAGAACTAAGTGTGGTTATAACAAATCTTGCATTCTCATCAACTTATTTATAAATTTATGTAAACAGGTCTCTTAGGCACTTCCTCGCAAAAATGAAAACTAGGAATTGGTGAACGCTGTTTTACTCTAGTGATAAGTAATTGTCATCCATGGATAAAAAACTACTTGGAAAAAAAAGTGTCAAAGAGATACATTTCTGTTTAATAATATAAACAAAATGTTTGCAATAAATGTTTTGTTCAATTGTTTATTAATAATTGTAATAGTAACTTAACCCAGAAGACTCTTTAAAAACACCTAAGAGCCTTATCACAGAAAACAATTACTCTCATATTTCAATTTACATACACAATGTTCTTGCAAATAAGTATGCCAAGGTGATTTAAGGCTTTCAAGATAAAATACTACTTATTGTCCATCTTGTGACTGATAAGTAGTATAAATATCCCCAAATACCTATAAAATTAAACAAAAAACAAATGCAATAAAGCAATGGTGACATTGTTGCAAACCAAACACTATGCTTTATTAAAATACAGTACTAAAGAACTATTTCCTTTTAAATTATTATGAAACGGAAAAATAATTAACATTTATTAAGTGCTTACTAGATTCTAGGCATAATGATAAGTATTCTACTTACATTATCATTTTTGTTATTATGAAAACTTTCAAACATAGACCGAAGTAGAAACAGTCCAAAGAACTCTCATTTATCTATCATGAAACCCAACCATTATCAAACTTTTGTCATACATGCTTCAGCTTTCTATTTTTTCTTTTTCTTTTCCCTGAATGATTTTAAGGCAAATCTCAGACATCACTTTACCCTTGTATGTTTTAGAATGTATCTCTAAAAATCATGGGCATTTTCTTATACAGCTATAATGCCATTATCATAATTTACAAAATCAATGCCTTAGTATTATCTAATAGCCAGTCCAAATTTGAATTTCCTTACTATCTTTTTAAAGTTGGTTTGTTCATATTATTCATATGAATGATGGCAGATAAGAAGTTGCTATGGTGTTTAAATTTTATAGATTTAGTTCAGGACTGAGGTACTTTAAAATGTCAGTATTATACTCTGGTTTCTCTTCAGATGGTATAAATCTTTCACCTTTTTAAAATGTCAGTATTTACAACCAACAAATTATTCTTTAAAATTGTTTAAACTTCTAACTAAATATTTTAGATGTCAACTTCAAAACACGTAAGGGAATACAGTTTGTCAAAATTTTTTTAGGAGTTCTGTGAGTAAGTCTGAAGACTCCTGAGTTATACTACGTATAAGTAAGTGTACCTGCATTGCATGGAAGGTGTAGGAACACACCTAATAGAAGTTTAAATAGTTCCTAGCAGTTCTAAACAAAGGTAGTTATTTAGTTGGTACTGTCATTTTCCTGAACTTGAGGGTTAAGGATAGACGCTCTCCCTCTGTCTTAAACTCAAGGCAGAAGTTCCTCAGAGTAGGATTTGCCAATTTTTTTCCCATGCTACACATAGCACTTTCAGAAAATGTGGTATTTGTATGGTCCACTGGGCCAGGGCCCTGCCCTCACTGTCCTGAGGGTCAAGGAGACCTGTTCACACCACACAGATTGGGAAGTTCTAAATTAGAAAGGAAATTGATATATGCTTAAAAGACATAGTTTTTAAAGAAGCTAGACCATACAATATAATGTATTTTAAAGATAGATGAGTAAAGATTAAAAAACCAATACTATTTGAATTTCCATTTAAAAAGGATTCAGTCTATTTGATGATATTAAGGAATTATTAATTTTTTTGACTGAGATTATCTTTTTAGAAATACTATGTATCTTAGAGATATGTAATCAAATGTTTACAGATGAAATGAGATAATTGAGATTTACTTCAAAATAAGAAAGGAGACAAGGTCGTGTGGCTGAGAAAGGAATGACTGTGGGCTGACGTCATTGAGGCTGGGCACAAGTATGTGGGGATTCATTATGTGTAGGTACAATGTCCTCTAATAAATTTAAAAAATAAAAAGAATTAAACAGCATAACTCTGGGTGCTTCTTATTAATGCTACATTTAACAGCAAAGAACTTTTATTTCTTTATGATCTCTTTCAACAGGGCAGGAACTGGCACATCCCTAGAAACTGGAAAGCACTGTTTGGGAGAATTTTAGGTTTACAAAGCCCAGCACCACACCTGTAAAAGTGTGTGCTTTAGTCACTGACTTGAAAAGAAAGCATGTGTGTGTATGTCTCTCTCTCTCTCTCTCTCTCTCTCTCTCTCTCTCTCTCGATAGTTTTGGCAGTTTCAAAACATAATTCCTCTGTCCTTGAATCTACGTGATGTGGAGGGAGACAGAAATGCATCCTTATTTGGCCTCAATGCTTAATAAGTGGTAGTACTTAACAGTTACAAAACTTAATTCCTCTCCTCAGGAGGTTCAAATGAGTTCCCCCGTTTTAGAAATGGTGATAAAATGGTAAAAGCCAAGAATGAAAAGATCAAATATTTAAAAGCAGAAAATCCCATTAATGTCAACCTGGGCTCAGTAAATGCACCCAGGCATTTATTCACTGTCCTGATGAACTTCACATAAAAAAAATAAAAAAATCCTATCTTCCATTGCTCTTCCCTCTTTCTCTAAAAAGCTCAAAGTGCATCATTGAGCCCATAGAAGAAAAGAGTGGTAAATATTCAAGAGTAATTCAACTGCAATAACTCTAGAATATAAATAACAAGCATGATTAAACTATGTAAAGGAATGACTTGTTCGATGCCGTTTAATGACAGGTGACAGAAGTACAGCTTAACTCTCTCTTTTAGGCTTTAAATAAATACTTCAGGTAACTATTAGGTCTAAAAACAAACTGGCTTTCTGAAACGCAAAACCAGTGGTGTACTAGAGTAAGTTACTATGAATAAAAATAAGATGGTGAAATGTTAAAATACCTCATATCTTTCAAAATGGAATATTTGTAACAACAGTCCTAACACTGTCATCTCTTCTCCTTTACTCATTTTAATTTCCATCACAGTGAAATAATTTGCTCAACTATTTGGCAAGAGAGGCAGCTCTTTTTTAAAGCAATGAGAAAATCTTAAAATTATTCTGACAATAAAACAGAGCTTTACTTGGAAGAAATTTGCTATGAAGGTGTAGCATCCAAAAAAGTCAGAAAAAAAAAAGACAGACAACTGAAAAGGAGAATGGCAAAAAGGAGCAACTTATTAAAACAAACAGACAGAAAAAAAACAACCTAGTCAAAGAGCCAGACAGAAGAACAGAACACAGATGGAAAAGAACACCATCAATTCCAGAAGGATTCTGGGATATACTCCATGTTGTCCAGTAAGGCAGCCACTTGCCATATATATTTATTGAGCACTTGAAATGTGACTGGTCTCAACCAGGATGTGCTGTAAGTATTTTAAAAACTCAATAATTTATATTGGTAAGTGGAAAATACAGTATTTTACAATAGTAGGGTAAGTAACTTATATTATTGAAATTAATTTATTTTTACTTAATGTGGCTATTAGAATTAAAATTACATATATGGCTCACATTTATATTTTGATTGGACAGTGCTGCTACAGATACTTTATCAAGACCCACTATTCATCACACTGGTCTGGCTTAATGATCTGGTGAAAGCTGACCATGGGGGCAAATTGTTTCTATGGGCAAATAAATCTTCCAAAGCTTCTCAGCTCCTTTTAAGAAAAACACCAGAAACAGAGACTTACCAATATACTCTTCTAGATCAATGAAACCATCAGAATTCTTATCTATATCCTCCATTGTTTCCTAAACAGGATAAGAAGAGACTATTAGTCTCTGAGTGAATTTGCCAGAAGAGTGTATGGTTATCTAGTTTAGGCAAACATTTATCATTCATTTAAAAAAGTACACACACACACATGCATGTCTATATGGTGAAAACCATAGGAAATTGATGTTTTTCTAGCTGGAAAAATGGTAAAACATTAGCAATTTCTTATGCTTCAACCTAAAATAACTATGAGGATGAACACTGACATTTCTTAATGTTGAACTACCTGGTAGCCTTAGTCATGCTGAAGTCATACTGACAGGAGATGTGACCAGTGATTATGTCTATAGCTATAGATGGTCTATGTTATCAGTAACTGCGTTCTGTGGAATTCTTCAGTCTCACTGTTATAAGATTTCCCCCTATTCTAATAATATGAAGCTACTAATGAAATGGCAAAATACATTACCTGATGGAAAGTATTATTGTACTAAAAAGGAAGCCTAAGGCATCTAAGAAAAATGACTTGATCAAGGTTACAGAAAAATGGTGACAGACTTGGACTCTGAATCTGACCAGTACTTGTATATCAAGTCATCTTCCAAATTGTATAGGAATGGCTACAGAGCAAAGATGGCATAAGCCACAAAAAGAGAAACTGTGTTCCTTTGGAATCCTGGATCCTACCCACCTGTACTACTATATCTTTCATGTAGTCATACTCCTCAGGGTGCAGGAAAGCTGTGAACTCCTCCTTTGTGGCAATGAGGTCTCCATCCTTGTCTGCCATTTTAAACCTCCGCTCATCTCTAACCATCATCTGTTTATAGTTAAATCCGTCATCAGGGTCTGGGTCATCTAGAAAACAAAAGTTTAGATCAAATCTTAAAAGGCTTCCAGAAAACAGGAAAATGTGTGGGTTGGGGAATCAATTTCCAATAAAAATAAACCAAGCAATGAAGGAATAATTTTTTTTTTTTGCCCAGAAAAAAGCTGTACCAAAGAAATAATTCTTGATTACACAGGTAAAATTGAAGCAGAATGAAGACATTTAGTTTTGGGCTAAAGCTCCAGTAATCAGCCCTTAGAATCAGGTCCAAGTTCAGCGTAAATGTTTGCCATTCAACATGGAACTCTGGCTTCTGCACTATGTAACTCAGTATTTAATGCTTCATTACTATTGGTGTTAAGGCTACTACAAGGCTTGAATTTCCTAGTTATATTTGGGAGGCAGTGGTGGCTCTAAAGCCTGTGTTTGAACTCTATCATTTCCTAGCTGTGTAGCCTTGGACAAGTAACTTAACTGTGCCTCAGTCTCCTCATCTGTAAAATGGAGATAATAATGGTACCTGCCTCATAGGATTGTTCTGAGGTTTAAATGAGAAAATAAACCTAAAGTTCTTAGAACAATGCCTGGCACATAGTTGCCTTGCAATGTCAGTTATTGCTATTTTTACTAAACATTAGGATCCTATAAAAAAGAAAGATACCAAAGTATCCCACATTAAGGACATTTGGATTCAAGCAACAGAATATCACCACTTTGAAAAGTCACACTTTGGTTTTTTTCAGTCAACCGAGAAACATACCAAGAGTTACAGGTATTGTTCATCCTCCATTTACGTAAAATTCTAGAAAATGCAAACTAATCTAGAATTACAGAAAGTAGATCAGTGGTTGCCTACAGACAGGGGCTTGGGGAGGGTGAGAAGGGACATGAGGAAATTTTGGGGGGTGATGGATAATGGTGTTTATTATTTTGATTGTAGTGGTGGCTTCACTGGTGTATACATGTCCAAATTCATCAATCCTACACTTACATATGTACAGTTCATTTTATGTCAATACCTTGAAAAAGCTATTACAAAAAAAAAAAAAAAACCCAACCCATTATATTACAACCAAATTGAATTTAGACCTACCCATCTGTTACAATGGTGAACTGCACAAGTAGCAGTTATCTAGTCCCTAAGAATCTAGAAAAATGAAATTTAGGTTTTTTGTTTGTTTTTTGAGACAGGTCTTAATCTGTTTGCCTGGGCTAGAGTGAAGTGGCATCATCATAGCTCACTGTAACCTCAAACCCCTGGGCTCAAGCAATATTCCTTCCTCAGCCTTCCAAGTAGCTGGGAATACAGGCATGCACCACCATGCCCGGCTAATTTTTCCATTTTTTGTAGACACAGGGTTTCACTATTGCTCAGGCTGGTCTCCAACTTCTGGCCTCAAGCCATCTTCCTGCCTCAGCCTCTGAAAGTGCTAGCATCACAGGTTTGAGCCACTGAGCGTGGCTAAAATTTAGTTTCTTTAAGCTGAAAAAATGGGCAGGAGTTAACGGCAGAGAAGGAATAAAAAAATCTTTTCAATCTGAGTTGCTGTGTAAACTAAATAAGATAATAAATGTGAGATATTTTAAAAAGTAAAAGACATTGCATTAAAGGCAAGAAATTATTATTCCTGCAACATACTGATTAAATAAAAAAGATAACAACACTAGGTTTACGAAAAGACCCACAGGGTCTTTTTAACAATAATGCTGTACTGCTGACCTTTGATATTGCAAGTCAGTCTTTCCATACTTTTTAAGTTAAGCTTAAACAAAACCAAAAACTATTGCTCTATTTGGAGAGTTGAGCAGCTTGAAACTTCATTCTTTGTTGAGTGTCAAAAATTTAGTACGACAGCTTATTTAGTCATAAGGCTTTTGGACCCTATATATGTACACTCAAAGCCATAATAGGTTAGAGATGGAAAATTTAAGGAAAATACCACCTTTCTCAGATACTAACCTGTCTCTTCTAAACAAATACAGTTTCACTAACAACTATGTAACATAAATAAGAAAGATAACAGAAGACAACTTATATTTTAAGACTAGATTCTTAGCTAAGAGCTCTCCTCTTCTCCTTGGGGGTAAAACAGTGACTAGAATCAAGTAACCTAAGAGCAACATGCACATATATAAGGATGGAAAAAGGAAGATGCAAAACTTTATTTTTAATGACAAAACCTACATGCCCTGCTTAGAGTACTGTATCTACCCTAAGCACCAGTTTTGGCGCTAGCTGGCCGGTACACAGCTTTGGGTAGGCTATATCGATCTAGTTTGGCTATAGGCAGGGTGGATCTTAGTATTTTGTATTCTACCTGTGGCAGAGACAGTGTTAACATTCTTCTTGTGGATAGTGGATTCATTGAGACAGATTTTAAGAGCTACGAAGATTTATACCTGAACTCAAAACTGAATCAAGAACACACTCTCATAAAAACTCCTCTGCACTTCTCTAAGCCAACTCACTACCCTCTGCGCTCTCTTCACCCGCATGCCTCCAGAGAAAGACGCCTTATAAAGACATTGCTTCTTCAGCCAGTGCTTCAGCTTATGTGTAGTCTCAGGCAGTAGACATACCCATTACACTGAATCATCTGCCCTGTGAGGCAACAGAGCTCTCAACAGATTTTTATGCACATAATCATACACAAAGTTGAAGAATCATTCTGGGCAGCAAGTGAGTGCATAGGTCTGAGCTCAGATTTACTCACACATCATTTTGTTTAGATTACCAATAGCCTACCCTTTGCTTTATATTTATAATTAATTCCAAATAGATCAGGAAGGTGTTGGGTCTCAGCCAGAGAACAGGATGCCTCTCCATCTGTGCTGACTTTTTAATACATGTGTTCTTAATTGGGTGAAGGATATGTTTGGTTCCTGGCTAAGTGTCAAGCATTGAGAGGGACAGCCACTTTAGTCTTAGGAATGAGAACAAGCCTGACACAAAAATAAAAGTCTCTTCACCAGAAATGCATTCAGTCCTGTAATTAACACAGACAGCTGGCTATCCAGTGGGGAAACAGACCATTATACACTCACTGTTAGTCAGTGGTGGAGAATGCCTGCTTTAACCCAGAAATTTGCCCAATTTCCAGACTAAAAATGCCATTTATACATTCTTGTCTCAAATTGTAACCATGTACAATGGAGGAATCTCACTAACACCCTAGGTCATCAATTCAGTAAGATCACCACCTAGTATTCAGAAGCAGGCAAGTGTAGTAAGTAAAAGAAAATTACGAACAGGTGGCCCAAGCATACAAGCTGCTAAATCAACAGAAAGCAGTCAAAGTAACATTTATTTGCCTTGAAGCAATTGCAAAGCGGGCTGATAAACTCATGGGCCAGAGAAAACAAATGGGAATTTTCATTTCTAAGCTTCAGTAAGTAGACAAGCTGAAATAGTTAAATTTTGTCAAGGAAAGCTATTTTATTTGAATTTTGTTTTATGAAGGAAAGACAGTAATTTTCCTCCTATTCTCACCAGTTATAAAGAAATCTAATTTGGTTTGTATTTTAGGTCCAACACTTTAATGGGACCACGTGAAGAGACATCTCAAAGCCTCTTACTTTTTGCATTGTTGGAAAAATGCAGTCTTTTAAATGAATCTATTCCAAAAATTATCTCTATAAGGGATGACAGAAAGAAAAAATGGCAAATTACATTTGAAATGCTAAAGATGTAGAAGATGCCAGACTTCAGAAAACCAAAATTAAACAAATTAAAAAATACATAATATACAAATTTCAAATTAACAAAACAAGGGAAATCAGCTCAGCATTGACTATGTAAGATAAGCACAATGTCTTCCTTTCCCTTACTGCGTGACCCATTTGTTTCTTTGACTCAAGACCATGGTCCTGTCGGGCTGACATCTTGCCCCTTACCCAGGTAAGTGCCATAAGTCACGTTTCTGTACTCATCCCAGGAGATTAAGCCGTCTTGGTTCATATCAAACTCCTGCCACTGGTTTTCAACATTATCATATATGTATTTCTTCTGGGCGTGCTTAATCCAGGATTTCAGCTCCCCCTCCGTCACAAACCCATCTTTATCCGCGTCTATTTTATCTACAATCATTCTACAAGACAAAACAGTTACGTTTCAAGGTGCCAGCTCCATAAGGCTTTTTCCCCCAGGTAGTAGGGACCTACCTAAAACGTAGCCGTAGGTGGCATTTTTATACTCCTCCCAGGAAACGAGGCCGTCCTCATTGAGGTCATGCCCCTTCCACTGTCGCTCTACATCCTCGTAAATCCAGCGCTTTTGTGCAAATTTAATCCAGTCTTTGAGCTCATCCACAGTGACAAACCCGTCCTTGTCGCCATCTATTTTACTTACAATCTTTCTGTAGAAAATGCAGAGAAATCCAGCAAAAGGTTAAAAGGACACAAAGCTCTGGACTTAGCCAGGTGTGTGCTGTGACCATAGGTGTTGCCCAGGGCTAATACACAGAAATAAAAAATTATCTCTAAAAAACTGCCAGAGTGGCAACTGAAAATATTTCTCCTAAGTGGTCCATTACTGGTCTACAGTAAGCCAGCTGAATAAGGTAAACACAGTCCATGGCTGGTGCCCTTGGATCTAAAAGCAAACCCAGCCTATCTCTTTAGAGGTAGTTATCAGCCTATGGTCAGAATTCGAGTGAATATCCATTCCTAGCTGAGTCCTCCACTCTTTGCATCAAAAAACATGTAAATCTTTATATGTTTATTGCTTTTAGAAGAGAATCTCCATTTCTTGGTAAATAATCACAACCACTGACATGGTTTTCTAAAAATCCAAAATGTTTAAATCACACTTTAAAAAATTTAGCTGCTTTTAAAAAAGTAACACTTGTTAGAATATAAAGATATCAATGATAGTTCTGGGATCACTTATATCTCAAGGCAAGATTATTTAAAAGAGTATGCTTATCTAAAAAATGGCTAGCAGATTTTATATACTATGCTGAATTGGATTTTTACATATAATCATGAAAACAGAGAACTCTGAGGAAATGATGTAAGAATGTATATCTCAGATTATGAGAATGTTAATAAGAGGGTTAGTGTGTAGATTATAAAGCAAAACAACAAAGATAAAGAATCAATACACTTCTCCCTTTATGAATGTCTTTCTTCCAGATCTGTCATCTTAATTTAAGGATTTAAAAATATGATATGGAAACTCCTGTTTAAAGATGCAATCACCTACACAGGGGCTAAGTCAACCTATGCAAAATCACACAAGTAAGCCGCCCAGTTTGCAATAGGAACTTTTAATAAAAACTTTCAACAGAAGTGAAATCTTCAAATATTCCTGTTCTATTATTTGCAGGATTGAAAGACTATCACTTGATAGCAAATAATGTCTTTTTCCAGTTTGTGTTTACTTCATGGAAGTAAAGTTTTTTTTTTTAATTCTTTTGTAAAAACAGGGTTTCAGGCTGGTTGACCTCCTGGCCTCAAGGTGGGAAAGTAATTAGAATCAAAGAGAACTAGTGACACTATGAAAAGAGACCCATCTTGATATTGATATAGTGTTAGCCATAACTATTACTTAAATCCTATAATTAACATTTTCCTTCAGAGAATGTGTAATCTTGTAGCTTTTGCTCTAAAATGTTAACAGAAAAGGTAAAGCAGTAATATGTTCTCTTAAATATCCTCCTCTGCCTACATAGACATAAGGACAACTTTTTTTTTTTTTTTGAGACAGAGTCTCACTCTGTTGCCCCAGTGAGTGTGCCGTGGCATCAGCCTAGCTCACAGCAACCTCAAACTCCTGGGCTCAAGTGATCCTCCTGCCTCAGCCTCCCAAGTAGGTGGGACTACAGGTGTGGACCACCACGTTCAGCTAATTTTTTCTATTTTTAGTAGAGACGGGGTCTTGCTCTTGCTCAGGCTGGTCTCTAACTCCTGAGCCGAAACGATCCTCCCGCCTCAGCCTCCCAGAGTGCTAGGATTACAGGCGTGAGCCACTGTACCTGGCCAAGGACAAATTTTTTGCTGCAAATTTAACTCTGTAGAATTTTGACACTATTAATAGGTTAAGTTATTCCAGTATTAAAAACTTCTGCATTATGTATAATGGGATCTAGTTTGTGCCCAGATGGTATTGGCTACCAATAGTGCCACTGTATGGTTAAGAAAAAAAGGGCAAGGTATCAGAACCCTTCCCATCTCCAAAGGTATTTTTAAACTATTATAAATAGCCTGAAGAGAAGGATTGCCCAGATAAAAAAGGCATGACTGTTCAAGACAGGCTTTTCTTAATGAAGTTAGCTGAACAGCATTCTATACAGAAATATCCAAAATGGTTTAATCTAGGGGTTGGTAAACTTTTTTTGAATAGGGACAGACAGTAAATATTTTTGACTTTGTGAGACACATACGGTCTGTCGCACATATATATATATATAAGCATATATATATGTATATAGATATACGTAAGCATATGTATGTGTGTGTGTGTGTGTGTGTGTGTGTGTGTGTGTGTGTGTATGCATACATATATATAGCCCTCTAAAAATGTAAAAGCCATACTCCTGGGCTTAAGTGATCCTTCTGCTTCAGTCTCTTGAGTAGCTGGGACTAGAGGCGCATGCCACCAAGCCCAACTAATTTTTTTTTTTTTTAATTCTTTTGTAAAGACAGGGTCTCACTGTATTGCTCAGGCTGTTCTCAACCTCCTGGCCTCAAGAGATCCTTCTGCCTCGGTCTCCCAAAGTGCTAGGATTACAGGTGTGAGCCATCATACCTGGACAAAAGCCATTCTTATCTCACTGACTCTGCAGCCTGCAGGCAGTTGTAGTTGTGAAAGTACACTGGAAGTGGGCACATTCTACTTTGGCATGAAGCTCTAAACTATGTTTAAAAGAATGTGTAAATTTATGAAGCTAATGGTGTAGTATTCTTATAACACTGGAGAGCCCTATGGATATAGCTATTATGCCACTAAATAAGCATTTATTTTAGGACAGACACAATGTACTTAGCAGACTTTGTATTGTTTCTCCAGAGAGATAACACATGCCTCTACATTTCAAGGGGCACAAAGCAAACCCTTCTGTTTTTTAAGAATGTGGGTCAGTAACTGGACTCCAGAAGGGTACATAATATTTCTGAAATTTCTAGCATGGAAAATTTTATATATGTTCATATGTGTGCACTTTCTGAGGAAAAGTCCTTAGCTTTCATTAGACTCCCACAGGGTTTGGGCCTGTGATCCCCAAAATGGATAATAAGCTGCTCTGTTCATTTCTATAGCAAATAAATCAAGGATGAGAACTTTTTAACGCTAAGAACCACCACCTCAAAACAAACCAACCTTCAGTTGAAGGACACAAATGAAAACTAAGTATATGTTTACGGGGGAAGGGATAATACGCACATAAAAAATGTCCTATTTGTCAACATTCTTAATAAGAAAAAGAAATTGAAAATTGTATATTAAAATTGTTTTGAAATGCTTCCTGTGTTCTTTGAGATATTATTACTAAGGATTTCAAAAACAGTAGTGAATTTTTGCAACTGCAGGTATAAACAATGACTTATCATTTAATAAGTATTTGCCTTATAGATAGATGGAAAAAGGGGGGACTCTGTTGTTCCCAACCTCTGGTGTACAGTCACCTACCAAAACAGTGTTTAGAAATGCCACAGTAAATAAATTAAAAAAGAAAAAAGTCCACCTGGGATTTTTGCTTTCAACAGTATGGTACTGTATAAATTAGGGATATTTGTCACTATCTTCAACATTTAGGAGAAGCAAACAGTACTTAGTTCATTCATACATTCCATAAAAAATAATTTTATCACCTTATTCTAATCAAATACAAAATATGCTCATGTGCTATATTTTTGATAATATTTACTGATAACAAAAAGGAATACTTTCTACTGAAACCTGCCAGCAGAGCTACACTACCTGCAAGAGCAAGAACACCCGCATTAAAGTACCACGTACCCTAAATTATACCAGTCCTGAGGGCCCTTCATATCTAAGAGTAATTCTGCACAGAAATACGTGTAGACCGACATGTGGGTTGGACACGCACAGTATTAACAGGCGTGACATGAAGACTGAGAACACTCTCATGCATCTCTATTTTCAGCCTGGAATGTTAGTACAGTTATAAGATTAAAACGGAAAGTAAGGATGGTCTCTCAAAGTTAGAAAAGCAACCTAACAGAAGATGGACTTTTTGATGTGTGTTTTCTATATCTCCTTTCAAACGTTTGGGCACAGTGCTCATTCTATATAGCAAAATCTTTTGATTACTTCTGTCAATGTTGAAGAATAAATTATCGTACTCTTCAGTCAGCAGATAACCCAATGAAAGAATAAATTAATTCTCAAGTACCTCCCAAAGCAAATCCTATAATAATGTTTTATAATCAAAGCCCTATCCATGATGGCAAAATATTTTTGGAAATTGCTATGTGTGGTATGACTTTCTACACAAATCTCTTGAAAACAATTCAGAAAACTGCACCAATGGTGCTCCTTGAGAAAATTTTCATAAAACTGACCTGCATTTTCTTAAAAAGTGAAGTTTTGGAAGAGCCAAAAAAGACATTCTCAGACCCCCCAGTTAGAAATAATCAACTGGGATGCTACAAAATCAATTCTTTAGGTAAAAAGCTGCCTGATGAGAGAGCCATAGAACCTGACTATGGCCCAGCTGTTATTGAAATTCACACTCTGACATTAAGACCATCACTTGTTACAATCTCCTATTTTAGATAAAGTTGGTTTTTTTGCTTTTTGGTTTTTAATTAAGCAAATACCTAAGCATGAAAACAAAGAGGGTGAAGGACACCTTTGGAAATTATAAACTTTACAGAAAATAACCCAGGGGGCCAATTTGCAGTTTATTAGCCACTCAAAGACTTGGCTTGGGCAACAATGAATAAACAGGTCATGAATAGTTTTTAAAAATTAAAAGCAGCAAAGATAAAATGCATCTCATGTGATGTTCTTCTAGGATTAACATGATGCAGTTCAAGCTGAGTCCTGTAGTATTTGGTCCTTTTATGCAAAAATGATTTTGCTTTGTAGAATGAGGTACAAACTGTTATTCAGTGGAAAAATGTATGGAAAGCAGGTGCTTAATTAAATTTTAGTGGTAGCAATTCCATGGTTAGCTTTCAGAAGATGTAGCTGAACATAGCTTTGCTGGTGACTGAGCCAGAAAAGAAGAAAAGCATTCGCTGATTTATAAAGAATGTCATTACCCTAACTAGTCCCCTGAGAGGTGGCATCTTACCCAAGCCTTTCCTTGCTCTCTTCTGGTGTCAGCTGATCAAAGGTCTTTGCTTCTTCAGCACCCAAGAAGGCATCATGGTCATAATCAAAACTCTGAGCATCATTGTGAACCTTGTCGCTGAGCTGAGGCTCATGATGTACACGGTCCTTCTTTTCTGTGGGCTTGCTCAAGGCAAAGGCTGTGCACAGGGACAGGCACATAAGAAACTGTCGCAGGTCCATGATAATCAGGTCTTAAAGAAAATGAAAAGCAATTAATTCAGGAGGCAGTATACTTAATAATTAAACAAGAAATCAAAAGCTCACATCCCAGTTAAATCATCAATTTGATATATTACCACAAATACTATTACTATTACTAATCCATAAAATAAATATGGTAGAATATCAGACTCTCCAATTATGGTGAGAAATTTTCACCAGTTTCCTTCATCTTATTGTAGGCTGATAAGAAATTTATAGTTAAAATGTCCACTTTATAATTGCCTCCCTTCAAAAGACACCATAGAACTTTAATCCTTTTGCTCAAGATCATAAGCATTAAAAGTGAAGGACCAAGACTAAATCTTGACTCCAAACCCTTTACTTTTTGTACTACATCAGTGGTCTGGTCTTCAAACCTGGCTGGTTATTAGAATCACCTGGGAAGCTTTAAGTTTGCCATATTGTGGTAGAATCTCTGAAACTGAATCCAGACATGTGTAGCATTAAATGGTTCTCAGGCAATTCTGATGATCATCAGATTAGGAACCAGTGAAATACTCAGCAGTTTCCTTGGTTGATAGCACCAAGTTTCCCATGTCCTGGATCTACCTTAAATTCCCTTCAAAGACCAAACCATTCAGATGGTCATAGACAACAATTTCTTCATTCTTATGTAAAGTTGTGTTTCCCAAACTTGTCTGGACATAAAGAACCACCTAGAGTACGTTCAAAGTACAGATTCCCGGGCCCTACTCCAGATCTTTAGAATAGCTGCAGTCACAAGTGATTTTAATCAACAAGCACAAGGCTGGTACACTTTATTGAAAAATGTGACCAAAAATAAAAATAAAAAACCTGCAGAGAAGCTGCAGGATAGAAATCTGTTTAGTATACTCTATAGATATCCCACAGTACTATCCACAGAGGTTAAAGTCTTAGAGAAAACTGTAAAATTAAAAATCAAGAGCAATGGTTTTCCCAAGCTTTCATATTTTAATTAATCTTTCATCGGTACAACAGGGGATTCTAAATGCTTTTCCCTCTTCAGGTGGAATAAGTTTTTGCAATTTCACATTATCTCCTACTCATCCCCCTTATGCCTAATCCCTGGCAACTGTGAATGTGACCTTATCTGGAAATAAGATCTCCACAGATGTAATCAAGTTAAAGTGTGCTCAAACAGATTAGGGTGGATCCCCCCAAATCCAATGATTGGTGTCCGTATAAAAAGAGGGAAATTTGGACACAGACACACAGAAGAAAATGGCATGTCATGAAAGAGGTAGATTTAAGAGATGCATCTACCTATCAGGGAATGCCAAGGATTGCTGACACCACCAGAAGCTAGGAAGAGTCCAGGAAGAGTCCTTCCCTAGAATCTTCAGAGAGCATGGCCCTGCTGACACATATATTTTGAACTTATAGCCTCCAGAACTGTGAGAGAACACATTTTTGTTCTTTTAAACCACCCAGTTTATAGCAATTTGTTACAGCAGCCCTAGAAAACTAATACAAGGCTATAGAACAGAGGGACACTGTCACATGAAAGTTAAATGCATTACCTTGTCCTAATGTGCAGATTAAACCAGCCAGACTTTACCTTCTGCAGGATGTCACTAATGGGACTAGCTGAACACTTACATTTTATATGTAAATCTTACAAATAAGAAAAGTCTTTCAGCATAGCTTCTAACTCAGTGGTTCTCAATCCAGACTGTACCCTAAAATCATCTAGGGAGTTTTTAGAAAATCAGAGTACTAAACCTTACCCCTAACCAATTAAATACCTTGGGAATACCTTGGGATGGGGCCTATTTTTTAAAAGGCTCCCTAAGTACAGCCAGGTTAAGAACCACTATTCTAACAAAACTCTCAACAGCCATAGTAATATCTTAAGAAATCTGACCTGAAAGGGTACTTAGCATGAATAAATTGCATATACCTTATCCTGCCTCAAGAGTTTTGGGAACTAGAATGGAGTGAATTGTGCCAGAGGATAAGGAAATTAAATATGCCAATACATTACACATATTTCAATGCATCCATTTTTCTTATAACCCTCAAATAGTTGCTAAATGAAGTTACATTGTCTTAGCATGGATTTGTAGCACCCTTTGGATTCAATAAACTAAAAGAATACTTAGCACAAGTTAATGGTGAGCATGTTATATAAAGATCCTTAAAAGTAAAAGGAAAGTAAACAGAGGAATCCCAACACAACCTAGAAAGCTGATTACACAAAGGCACAAGCTGAGATCTCCATGAACAACTTTCAGATTCTGAAAGGGCACACAAGGCCACTGTGTGCAAACACTGGGAAAGCAGCTCGGTGGGGGAGGGCACATGGATGGACAGTAGAAAGTGTTCTAGAACAGTGGTCCCCAACCTTTTTGGCACCAGGGACCAGTTTCATGGGATGGGGTGGGGAGATGGAGCTAGGATGCCAGTGATGGGAAGCAGCTGTAAATACAGATGAAGATTCACCAGCACCCCACCCCCCAAGTTTCATAGAAGACAATCTTTCCATGGCGAGGGGTGGGGTGGTGGTGGCAGAGCTCTGCAGCCCAAGGAGATAATGGGAGGTGTTCACTCCCCAAGTGCTCATTCTCAAAAAAGTTACTGTTACTGATGATGAGACACTTATTAAGACTTACAAAAACCCATCGGAGGAAGCAAAACCACAAGACCCACAGAGAAAGATGTAGAAAGTGGTACTTTTCTTAAGCTGCTCTCAGCAATGTTAGAACTTAGCTTTGTTTCTGATAATTCCTCAACATTCTGTTTCATTCGATCCCATTCAAATACCCACATTTATATACAAAAATACTTGTATTAAGATATTCAATGATGATAGTTTATAATGATTAAAAAATCGAAAAACTAAACCAGAGAACTGGTAAATTATATTAAATCTACATTATGGAAAAGTACACAGAGGTTAAAAAGAATGCGGTGGATCTAGCTGCAGTGAAACAGAACTCACCAAGACATATTAAATGAACAAAAAAAAGCAAGCTGCAAAACAATGGCAAGATCTCATTTATGCAAAAAACAAAGCAAAATTAAACAATCTCCTCAGGTTGTTTATATGTGTATAAAATATAACACATGCATGAAAATAGTATGGAAGGATAAACACTCATGTGTAAACAGTGGTAACCTTTAGGTTCAAGGGAGAAGAGATAGGGGTAGGGTGGGGCGGTGAGGCTGATGTGGAAGTAAACTTTAGTACCGTACTCTGCTGTGTGTCTAATTTTTGTAAATGGCTTACTCTCAAGCGTATTAGCTTTTTGTGTATCTTACTTGTAAAACATTGCTCTAGGCAAATAACACTTCGGCTGACCTTCCAATAATTGAATGAATTGATCAAATCAGTTAAAGAGTAAAAAGAAAATTAGAGATTTAGTAGCTCTCTTAAATACAACATCAAAGTGAGTATACCTTTATTTTAGGGCAAAATGATCTTCTATCTCAAACTACAAACAAATAATTCTTTAGATAAATAAAAATGTAGAAACAAGGAACAGGATTATATGTTGTTGATGTTTTGTGATGCATCCAAACAATATCTATGTTAGAGGCTTACAGAATCAAGTAAAATCAAGAGTCACTGTGACAAAAGACTTTCCTTATGACTAAGAGAACTTTACATTTAGAAAAATTTTATAAATGATTATATTGTCAGATAAAATACAGCATAATACTCTAACAACTCTTGTAAACCCCAAATATTACAATATGAATAAATGCTTAAGCCCTGTAACACTATCAGGGCCTGTAAATGATACTGTGCAAAGCTTTGAGACATGTACCATAGAAACGTAAGAGATTGATTCACTTTGCGATTTAGAGGGAAAGCTACATTTATGTTTGAGGCTTAACATCTTGTAAAAGGAAACAAGAATTCCAAAGAGTAAAAGCCAGGCGATTTGGCTTTATCATTATCCATTCTCTTTCCTTCCCCCTCTCAATTAAACTCCAACCACACTCCTCAATGGGCATCTCCATTCTGTTAGTCAATACTTCTCAGGTCCCCACAGCCCCCAGTTAGTCTTCCCAGACTCTGCTATTCCTTCAAGCTTTCCTTTAATTCCTTTTTCCCTTTCCTTCACCCACACAGTTGTCTACCCGGCTGCCTCACCAGCTGCTGTTCCCCTGAAATCTGCCTTTCTATCTTACCACTGATGAAACTGCCTAAAAGGGTCATCAAGGACCACCTGCTGGACAAAGCCAATGGTCCTACCTAGTCATCTTCACCTTTTTACAAGGGATAATGAAAAATCTGCACTTTAAAAATCATTTCTACTTAAAAAAAATATAATTTGTGCCCACACACACCAACTCCTGGCTATTAGAAACTTTAACAAAAGGCTGCTTCTTTTATGAATACAGAAACTAAAAACAAAACAAAAAACCATACCAAAAACTGTATGAGATTTATTTAAATTCATATATTATATAAAAATGTTCAAGTAGAAACAAAGGCTATCCCCCTAAAACAAAGGATATTTTAGGGGGGAGGATGTGAAAAGAAACAGTACAAAATAACTTTTCATACAAGGTTTTTGAAGAACTACATTAGGGCAGTTCATTTCTGAAGCATCTTTCTCTTTTCAATCAAATGATAGAAAGCTAATGATGCTTCTCATTTCCTCACCCCCTTCAACCAGCTATACATCAATGGATAACATATTTTTAAAAATACGATATAAATTAAGGACTTAGCTATAAGAGCTTTTACCATGTGATCTAGAAGGTAAACCAATGGTTGTGAAAAATGCATCTTCCTATCTCCCATTTCTCAAACGACCTATAATTTTCTCTCAAATTCTGTCCCTCTCCCACCAAGAGTAACATCTTTAAAAAAAAAAAGTCTAGGCTGGGCGGGGTGGTTCATGCCTGTAATCCTAGCACTCTGGGAGGCCAAGGTGGGAGGATTGCTTGAGGTCAGGAGTGTGAGACCAGCCTGAGCAAGAGGGAGACCCCATCTCTCCTAAAAATAGAAAAAGATTAGCTGGGGGCGGTGGTCCTCACCTATAGTCCCAGCTACTCGGGAGGCTGAGGCAGGAGGATAGTTTGAGCCCAGGAGTTTGAGGTTGCCATGAGCTATGATGATGCCACTGCACTCCAGCTGGAGTGACAGACTGAGAGATTCTGTCTCCAGGAAAAAAAAAAAAGTCTAGATCTGCACTGCACAGCAGCCACTAGCCACATGTGACTACTAAGCACTTCAAATGTGTGAATTAAGATTGGTATAAGTGTTACATTTTATACTGAAAAACAGTATTTTTGTATGTATTAGATTAAATAAAATATATCAAAATTAATTTCACCTGTTCTAGATTTTCACCTGAAAATTTAAAATTCCATATGAGGCTTGTATTGTATTTTATTGGACAGCACCATGTTAGATACAGAAACCAAAGGACTACAACTAAAAAACCAAGTAGCTATCATCCTTCTGTAGTATGTCACCAATAATGGTCTTCTGCAAAGTTATTTTCATGAATTGTTCCAGTAATTTATAAGGAGAAAAGATTAATGGTGTAAGCTTGATTTTAATAACAATGGTGAATCTTAGGAGTCAGTTTGTTTCATCCATGCACAAATTTCTTTGAAAGCTCTAAATTCTTACCACCACCACCCCCCTGCTTCCCCCAATCCTCACTTTGGGTAAAAATTCACTAGTCACAGAACGCTTAAATTGTTTTAGGGAAATTCAGATGTTTGGATTAAATTCAACTTTTCAAGAATGTTAACATTGAGTGATCCCACAGCTATTCTGGTTGACCAGAAAGACCCATTGCTCAATGTTAATAAGTGGGAGAAATGGGTGTGGCAGTAAAATTCCAGTTCTCTGATCTGGATGGATATTCAGCAGAAAAGGCATTTCTCCATAATGCAGTAAAAGCAGGATCTCACTTCTTAAGTGTCTATTTCAGTTGGAGAATGGGGTGAAAAACCTGATAGCAATTTAAATAGTAAGGCCCAGGCTATGAAATCTAGAAGTTAAAGTTATCTGCTTATCTACTTGATATTCTTCACTCATAGACTTCAGTACAAATATCACCAATGGACTATTACACAAAAGTAATGTCATCCTTCATGCTTTGAAAAAGTTATGATACTGACAAATCATTTATTGAATGTTTCTCTACTGATGGAGCAAATTTACATCAGTTCATCAATACATTCTAAATAAATTATCTGTGTGATGGAGGGAATACATTTACAAGACAGCTGAGTATATCTCAAATGCAAAATCTGGCTGTAGAAGAAAAACTGAGAAAATACTGAAACTATTACTTCATTAGTTTTACAACCAAAGCAACCCAGTACAAACTTTACATTTTTTTGGCTATAGATTCACAAACATTTTTGTAAAAAAGAAAAAAAAAAGTTCTAGAAATTCTGGGAGAAAAAAGCTTCTTTTTGGTTGATGAAATCTTTAATACACAATTAATTGTCAGAGGAATGCTAAGCAAAATGCAGGGATAAGAGCTTTGGTTTCTAGCCGCAATTTTGCCATGCATATGTAAAATTCATGAAGTCCTTGAGAATTTGGTAGTTATTTTAGCTCGATCTTCCTTCAGTGCCAAATGTCTATAAATAATTTTAAGATCCTAGATGAAAAGACCTATCTACTATGATCACTCTAGCTAGAAGTGATCTGTACCTACTCCTTTAAACTTTTATAAAATTTGTACCACTCGATAATGATCATAGGCTACTTTAAGCTGTTATTCTTAGCTCTGCTACAGATTCTATATTTCTGGAAGAATGCCTACATCTTAGCTAACATAAATTATTATCTCTCTATAGTCCCTAATACACCGTCTTACACTTTCTAGACACCAATACATTTTACTGGATTAATTGGGTGGTACTTGGCAGCAATTTTGTGGTTCCTGTCTGCCTGTGCTTACCAAACCCCAATTCCCCTTACTGGATCTGGCTATCAGCTAGCAACAGGCAAAAGTGTTATTTCAGCTGTCTTACCTCTAACACATAAATTACAGCATCGACAACATCCATATTTAGGAGTGGAGAGGATCTAGGGAGAGGATCACAGGGAGAAGATCTAGGCCCTTATGGCCTTGCAAGCATTTCCAATGGCTATCCCTGGCTACCTCTGTCCTTCCAACATCCCTGCACATCCATGTTACAGAAAGTCTCTGTTAACACCAATGTACTGATCTCCTATACTGGAGCAATGCATACTGGTGCTACCAATAAGTATCTCTTGACACATCACTGGATGAATGGAAGTGAACAATGATTATATTGAGAGTGCTGGTGACTTGGTTTCAAAGCTATATTGAGAACCATCCACTCAGGCATACTCAGTATATTTTTGTGAGCTCATGGTTCTCCTAGTTGAGAATCCTAGTTGTGATTCTCAAAAGAACCCCATTGGAAACCCCTGAATCACAGTAAAACCTCAGATTAGGCCTTGGCAAACTCATCCTCTTGACAGATGAAGACAATATATAGGCTATCTCTGGACCCTCATTTAGGCTATACTACATAAATTCTTCAGTGATGAGTATTGTTCGATATTTGATTAACTAAATCTACTCAATGAGGTCAAATATGCATTTGTCTTGTGTCAAGTTCCGTTCTATGGCAAAGAATAATTTTTATCAGAGAGTCTAAGGTTCTCTATCTCCAAGTTGAATAAGTTACTAGACTACTAGAAGTGACCTTATTCTCAATTCGTTAATGTTGACTATATGGCCCATGCCAGGAAATGAACGCAATTCAATTTTCAAAGACACTATTCTTGGACTTTATACAGTCATGAATTTAGGTCAAAGGTCCAAAAGTTTTAGCAGGAGACCCAGGGAGCTTTTGCCTTGATGAAAAAGCAGCTTTCAAAACTGCAAGCCACTCTACTATACTCTTAATTACGGCAGCTGTGGGGACTTACGTTTACTTCTGAAAGCTGCATGCCAAAAATCAGAACTAGGATCTGGGGCTAGAAGCCACAATACAAAATAAAAAAACAATTAATTTCCTAATAAAGCTTTTAAAGCTACTTTCCATAGCTGACTCAAGCTCGAAACATGCGGCTTTTAAAATTATGGATATCACACAGTGTCTTCATTCGTTCTTTCTCCCCCTTGTTTCTACATCCTTTAAGTCAGTGAACAAGACTTCCTCGGCAGACGCACCGCACTGTCTGGATCTGGCCTTGGGGCGGGGCTGGCAGATACAAGCAGGTTGGTGAGTGGAAGGTGGCAGGGGCTGTTACAATAACACCACCTCACTGCCCTCTGACCTTCAGGAGGCAAAAAGTGACCGTTCAGTCCCACGGACTCTGAGTGGCGAGGCCCAGGGACGAAGGGCAAAACAGAACCCAACAGTACGCAAAGCCGGGAGACAGAGATTGATGGGACCCAGCCCCCTTCCCAGAGCGTACGGGAAGGCGAGCGGCGAGCTCCATCCCTGGCTGCGCTCTGAGGGCCCTGAGATCTCGAGCAGGCTCAGGCCCGAGACCCCGGTGCCAGCAGAGACACGGGCCTCGAGTGAGGCAGGCTTATGCCGCGCCGAAAGCAAGGCCCGGGGACAGAAAGAAAGCAAATAAGGATGAAGCGGCAGCAGTGTGGAGGGGGTGGACATTACCGTACTTACCTTTTCTCGTAGCCCCCACTGCCCAGCCCGCCGTGGTCGCCGTTCACCCACCGGCTCTGTTCACGCGCGCAAGCACCGCCCAACCGGAAGCGAACCCTAGCCCCGCCCCCATCCGCCTCGCCGGCGACCTCTCGACCAATCATCAGCAAACTCGCCGCTGCGGCAGAGCTTCCCTGGGCAGCCATTGGTCCCACAATCGCGTAGCCGGGATTGGCTGGAAATCGCCACGTCCCCGCGAGCGCGCCGAGTTGCGTGGACCGGATTCCCGCCCAACTCTGGTCCCGGGGCCTGTGGGGATGGCGGGGCCCTAGCCTCCTACTTTGGGCTGGCGTGTGGGCGCGGCCGTCCGCCACGTCCCCATTCACAGCGCATGACTGCCTCCACAGGGCTTCATCGTTTACCCTGCTAGTTATCTTCATGCCCACAAGCCCCCACGTCAGAACTGATCCGATTGTATTAGTCACCAACTGGATTGAATAATCCCAATTCCTCCCTTCCCTTCAGCGCTGTTGCCCTGATGTGCTATCCACGGGAAGCTCTTCACTCTTTGCCGCCAGTGTATCTTTCAGCTTCATCTTCCAACATCCCCCTTCACATATCTTGCGGTCTAGCCACCATCATTTCTGTTCCTCGACAGCCTGTCCTTTCACATCTCTTTTTGTTCATGAAGCAGCTTCCTCCGCTGTGAATGAGTGGTTTTCCTGATTCTCAGTCTTGTGAAGACCAATAGAACTCCCGGTCCTGATGTTAGCAATAGAAACTCACCCCACCAAGTGTAATTCTTCCCTCATTTGCCTTTACAATTTTATTTATCTTCAACACAGTTTGCCAAATTTTGCTATAAAACACTGCTTATCCATCTGCTCTTAGACTAAGTTCCCGGATAGAGATCTACCTCTTCAACTTTAAATCTGCAGCTCTGAGTTTACTGCCCAGGTCAAAGTAAATGCTCAATAATGTTAGGTGAACTGAATGGGTGGAACCCATTGCATGTCCCTGGTTTAAGAGGAACACAGGAAATCATCCATTTATTCACTTTTATGTCATGAAGTTAAAACAAGTGTTAAAGGCTATTATAGTTTCAGCACAAATGAAATATAAATCTACTGAGTTCTTAGCACATAAAGCCTCTATAGTTTAAAATCCAATTGAGACAAGTATTAATAAGCTCATGAAAGAGTTAAAAACAAAAAATGAGTTTACTGTCAAGATGAAAGCTTTACAACTAGTGTTTCCGGCCTTCAAACAAAGGAGTGTCAGTGACCCTTGGTGGTAGCCAGAGCACGCTTCATGGGAAGATGTGACTCAGGCTGGACTAAGGAAGTTTCAAATGGACTATTCAGCAAGAAGAGTAACAGCAACAAGGAGGAGTGTGGGACGGAGTGGGAGGTAAATTCTCAGGCCAGGTAGGAAATAGGGAGCCATGAAGGGAAAGCATAGATGGTAAGTTTGGGTACATGGTGGAAGGTCTTGTCAATCTGAGCAGACTGAGCTAAAGGCAGTGGGAATTGTGGGTCTTCCTTGTGCCTATGTCGGGGGTGGAATAAAATTGAAAGTGGTTCTTTTACCTTCTAATAGAGATTAACAATAGAACAGGTTGCCTCAGGAGGTATTATTTCAAAAACTGTTTTAAAAATACCTCCTTGAAGTCAGGCACTATGCTAGGTGCTGGTGAACTCAAAGATAAATAGGACATCATCCGGCCCTCAAGGAACTGAAGCCTAGTGGCGGAGCCACCCATCCTGGAAGTGTCCTAGTGAAGGCTGAACAGGTAGTAAGACTTTGCCAGAGATGGGGCCCTCCAACCCTGAGATTCCCTGTGGATAAGGGCCTGGCCTAACAAGGGCAAGGGAATAGAAATGAACCTTTATATACAAGAGAGCTTTTAAAAGTGTAAATAACAAGTCCTGGCCTTAGTGACCAGTTGGATGAAAGAAATTAAGAGGGAGCACTTAAAAATTAAGAGTTTTAATTAGGCAAGACTGGGAGAATGAGCTAGATCTATGAAATAAAGGAAATGAGTTAAGTTCAAGATATAGTTAATCTAGGTGATGACAGAACATCTAAAACAACAGAGTCAAGAGGCTGGAGGAGATACTTAAGAGATGGGTCCTAGGCCAGGAGGCAGCTGATGGAGCCATGAGAACAGATAAGCTTTTCTGAAGAGAGAAAAGCAGATTAGGCCTCATGGGAGCCCCGGAGTTAGAAGGTAGGTGGGGGAGGAAAAGGACTTGAGGGGTGACACCCAAGGCCATCTAGCCCTGGATTCTGTCTCTGAGAGACAGAATGCTTATGGCAGGCATGATGATGTCAACTTCAAAAGGCTGACATTTTTCTCCAAGCATTCCAGCTCTGCTCATGTGGTACTCCTGGGCATTCATTCCTGAGTGTTTCCTGTGTGCAAGACACTGTTCTAGGCACTAGGGATACAGCAGTGAACAAAATACATTAATCTCTGTCATGGTGCTTATATTCTGGTATGTAAGGGTAGGTGAGGCAGCCCATAAACAAAATGTTTTTAAAAGCAAAATATATAGAATGAGAGGTGGTGATAGGTGCTAAGGGAAAAAATAAGGCAGGGAAGGAGAACAGGGAGTGTTGGGACTGTCAGGAATGGTGTTGCCATCTTAGAAAGGGTGGCCAGGGAGGGCTCATGAGGGAGTGACTCATGAGGGAACCTGAAAGTGGTGAAGAATGTTCCAGGAAAAGGGAAGAGCAAGGGCAAGGCCCTGAGCTGGGAGTATGTTTGGAATGTCTGAGCAGCAACCAGAAGCCAGTGTGGCTGGAGTACAGTGGCAAGGGGAGTAGAGGACATGAGGTCAGAGAGAGGGAAGCAGAGATGGGGAGGGGGAGAGGGACACTCTGTAATGCTTTTAGGCCATTGCAAGGACTTTAGCTTTTACTGTGAGTGAGAGGACATGGAAGAGATTGGCTATTTGCCAACCTGTTTCCTCTTTTTCCTGTGAATCCAGCTAGACTACATTTTCCAGTCTTCCTTGCAGTGTGGCCATATAACAGCTCTGACCACGGGAGGGAGGGCAGAAAGGACATACAGGACCTCCAGCACTGGCCATGCAAAGCTGCCATGTGCAATTCTCCAAGCAATTTCCCTTCCTGTGGCTGGAAGGTGTGTATTGAAGATGGTAGAGCCACAAGGTAGAAGGAGGCTGGGTTCCTGTTAAAGAGCCACTGACTTACCAGGAACACCATTTTTGGACTTTTTATGAGTGAGAAGTAAAACTTCTATTAGTTATTTTATGCCATTGATATATTGAGGTTTATCTCTTAGAGGTAGCATTGCCCTAACTTAATCGAGAGGAAGCCATTTGGAAGGTTTTGAGCAGAGAAGTGACATGATCTAAGATTTTTAAAGGATCACATTAGACTGAATGGGGTATGGTTAGAAACAGGCAGTGCATTAGAAGGCTTTTGCAACAATCCAGGTGGGTGATGACGTTGGCTTTTTCCAGGGTGGTAGCAGTGGAAGTAGTGAGAAGGATCAGGTTCTGAGTATATTTTGAAAGTAATTTAAAAGGGTTTCCTGGTGGGTTGGAAATGGGGTGGAGAGGAAGAGAGAGGTCAAAGATGATGCCAAGGTTTTGGGCAACTAGGAAAATGGAGCTGCCATTTACTAGGATGGAGAAGACTTCGGGGAGAGCAAAGTTTGAGGGCTAATACTGAGAGATTAGTTTTGGACACGTTGAGATGCCTTTTAGACATTCAAATGGAGATGTCAAGTAGGCAGTTGGATATGTATCTCTGTAGTTCAGAGTGGCCTGAACTAGAGGTATAAATCTGGCAGTAAGTGATACACCTGTGGTATGAAAGCTGTGCACTTTGATTAAAAGAGACCCAAGGACTGAGTGCTGGAAATTTCTAATGTTCAGAGATGGTGGAGGGCTGTCGATGAGAATGAACCAGCAAAAGAACTGAGAAGAAAAGCCAATGAGACAGGAGGAAATCCAGGAGAGTGTCCTAGAAGTAAAATGAAGAACGAGTTTCAGGGTGAAAGGAGTAATCCTGTGTGTTGCAGGCTGCTGACAGTGGGGCGAGGACTGGTCGGCCATGGGCCTTAGCAATGTGGTGACTTTGACAGGTTCGGTGGGGTCGTGGATGCAAAAACATAATTGGGTGGGTTCAAAAGAGAATGGGAAATAAGAAATTGGAAGCTTTCAAGGAATTTACTCTAAAGGGGTGGATAAAATGGAGTAGGGGGACAGAGGGACCAAGAGAGGTTTTGTTTTATTTTGTTCTGTTTTTAAATGGAAGAAATCACAGTGTTAGTTGCTGATGGGAAGGATCTGGTAGCGAGGATGAAACTGATGCTGTAGGAAAAAGAAGAGTTACTGGAGCAAGGTCCTTGGGGAGGTGAGATGGGGTGGGGTCTAGTACAAAACAGGAGAGAAGACAGAATCTGTGGGTCTGGATGTAGGTAACTGGTGGATGTGGTGGCGAGAGCCTGAAATTCTCTTTCAACTGTGGCCATGTTCTCAGTGACATGGGAAGCCCAGTCCCCAGGAGGCAATGGTGGTTTGAAGGGAGAGAAGGTGTGAAACAACAGTTCAGCAGAGTGAACAGACTTGGTTGGGGAATGTAGGATGATTTCCAGGCAACATTAAGGACCCTCTTGAGGCTTGTGTTGATGACTCAGCAGTGAGATCGGTTAGTGTATCACGTGGTTCTCTCCACTTTCTCTTGCGAGTTCAGCAGCAAGTTCAGTGGCTGGTGCAGGGAGAGGGCTGGTGGAGAGCTGGATTTAGCCAAGTAAATACAAGAAAGTGAAAGAGACACGAAGGTGTTGCGGGTGCATGCAAGGAAGCGATAATAATAGTGGTTGATCTTGGAATCTAGGCTACAGCAGAAGAAAATGAGGACGTGAAGAGAGTGAGGGATAGTGAAAACCTGGTAGGAGCAACGGAGTGCAGTACTGGTGGGTTGAAGGATTATGGGACTTAGGGGAAAGGATAGGAGGTGGTATTGCTGGAGAGTGGGAATAATGGGATGGGGGGCAGTTATTAACGACAGACTCTAGGGTAAAGTCAGGGGCTGAGGAGGGTGGAGAACAGTATGATTGGAGGGCAGCAGTTCAGGGAACAGCAATCAGAGTGTGGGGAGGATCATCTATGCACATATTGAAACAGCAAGAATTAGCACGTAACTTGTCGTTGGAGCTTGGTGACCCAGGAGCCTACTTTTTAGCCCTCCAACCATTTCAGTATGAAAACTTCTTCAGTGAAGTAAAAGACCTTCCTGGGGTATCTTAAATCAAAGCAAAACCCCCAAAGATCTCCCTAATTGGAGGTTGGACAGTTTTCCTGAAATACTCATAGACTGGTTTTCATTGAATGTGAAATATTGCGCCTTTTTTTTTTTTTTTTTTTGAGACAGGCTCTTGTTCTGTCACCCTGGCTAGATAGAGTGCAGTGGTGTCACCATAGCTCACTGCAAGCCTCAAACTCCTGGGCTCAAGCGATCCTCCTGCCTCCACCTCCTGAGTAGCTGGGACTACAGGCCTGTACCATCACACTCATCTAAATTTTTGTTTATTTAGGTAGAAATGGGGTCTCGTTTTGTTGCACAGGCTGGTTTTGAACTTCTGGCCTCAAGCAATCCTCCTGCCTCCCAAAGTGCTTACCAGTGAGAGTCACCACACCAGCCAATGTTGCACATGTTAAACAAAGAGGCCAATCCATGGGCCATCTGACAGATGCTCCTTAGTGATTCTGTTGATCTAGAATTTGTGACCCTCTGATTTACCTATACTTTGAGACTATTTCTCCTCTCTCTGGAATCTCTAATTTAATAATCACTAGCAAGGAATATCAACATTTCTAGGAGGTGTCAAACACAAAAGAAATGGAGCCAGTGTTTGCAGGGCTGGGTAACAGCAAACTTAGGGAGTATGAACACAAAATAGAAATTCGCCCAACCCTACACACCTGTCTTACTACCTCCTGTGAGAATGATTCCTCCACTAATCCAAACCTCTATTCAGAACGCCAGGGCTGAGCTAGCAAGTCCAAGTTAGGGAGCAGGCTAAGGAAGAAGGTATAAAGCTAGAGTCAGAAGAGAGGAATTAGCAAGAAAAACTGGCAAAAAAGGAAGTTGAAGGAGTCTGGCCCTTCATACTTGTCCAGAGTGGTCTGAGCAGAGGAGAAAACACATTTCTTTTTTTGGCTTATGGCTTTACTTTCAAGTTTTAAATTAGATAAATAGAAGCTTGGTGAGGCATCTCTCAGGGATGTGTTTCTTCTCTTGTCCTCTTTATCTCTTCTACCAAGTCTCTTCTGTTTCCTTCTGTTACCACTTCTCTTTGGGTCTCTCTTCTCTGACTTCCTCCTGCCACCTTCCTCTTCACCTCGGTTCTGCTCTCTTCTGCCTCTCCTCTGGCCAGGCTTCCCTGTCACCCCTTCCTCCATCTCTTGGTCCTGGGCCACTCTGGCTGTGGGACGGAGGTGGTCGGTGCTGAGATACGGTGCCGAGGGCATGAAATTACGTACAGCTGAATGAGGAAAGGCTCTGATGTCACCGTGAGATGATTCCAGTTTTCCCTTGGTTACAGCTTTCTCCGCCCCTCTAGCCACAGAGCCCCTCGAGCTGAATACTGCAGAGTGGTGTAGGCAGGGGCTGCATAGATTCTCCCCAGTATGAAAGGGCGGCTCAAATAGAATTGCCTGTGAGTGTAGGAGAGAAAAATGTTAGATAGAATATAATTTACCTAAAGAGCTCTTTTGTGGGCACATAGATACTTATGTCAATTTAAAAAAATTTTTTTTTCTGTAGACATGGGGTCTTGCTATGTTGTTCAGGCTGGTCTTGAACTTCTGGTTTCAAGTGAGGCTCTCACCTCAGTCTCTCAAAGTGCTGGGATCACAGGTGTGAGCCACCACCCTGACAATTTTTAAAAATTGTCAACTATTAATAACAGGTATCTTATAAGAGTTAGTGGTTTATTAGTAATATTTTACTTTAGAAAATGTACATCACCCCTACCTTCTTTAGGAAGCTATTTCTGGTTAGACAGGCACACAGGAAGTATTTCACAATGTTTGTTAACTGAACGAGTGGGTGGATGAGTGCACCTTGAGCATGGACAGAGAAGGGCTGGAACCCCAGGGAAGTCTGACCCTTCCCAGCCCTCCTAGCCTACCTCCTTCTCACTCTCTGCACCCCAACCCCAGCAGAAAGCAAGCTCGCCAAGAGCTCTGGGGAAGAAAGAGGGAGGGAGAGCACACAGGAACTCCCCAGAGCTGGGCCCTCCTGCCTCCCACACAGCAAGGGGAAAGCAGCTCTAGCGACGACAGACAGCATTGTCCATTCTTGTCTGTCCCTTCAGAGCCACTGTGGGAACTCCAGGGGCTCTGAAGGTGCCACACTTCAGGGTTTTGCTCAACCCAGTTGGAGGCAGAGAACAAAAAGGCAGGAAAAGAGAAGGTTGAGGTTGCTGTGGCCTGCATCCCCCCACCCCCACTCCACAGCTTTCTGGAATCACCCTCAGGACCCCAGGACCTGACCCAGCCCTGAGGTTGAACTCCGAGGCTGTCCCATGATGGCAGTGGGTTAATTCCGTCACTGTACCTATGGGTGGGCCCAGCTGTGGCCTGGTGGAGGCTGCCAGAGTGCTGAGGAGTGAGAGTGGCTGCGGCCCAGAGGGGTTCTCTCTTTCCCACTCTCCATACGTGAACGAATCCCTCCAACAGAGGTCGCGGGTACAAGGGATGCTGTCTTCGTCTTCGTAGGGGATCTCGTTCTCTAGGTCAAGAAAAGGAATGCATATGTTTGTACTCTGGTTCACAGAGCACGCGCAGAATACAGCCAACATTTGAGGGATGCTTATTACGTGCCCGGCACTGCTCCAAACAATGACATGCATTCGTGTTCCCGCAATCCTCACCACGACCCTGTGAGGTCAGCACTGCCACAATCCCCATTGCAGGGATGAGGAATCTGAGGCCCAGAGTGGGTAAGTGACTTACTGATAGTCACATAATGAGGAGGCAGAGTCAGAATTCAAAGCTAGACAGCCCGGCCCCAGAGCCCATGCTCCTACCACTACATCGTGTGAGCAACACAGTGCCAGTAAAAGGAGAGACCCAGCATGGTTTGGACAGATTAACTGAGGAGATTTCCCCAGGAGGTAAAGCTAGCTGAACTGGCAATGGCCTTGAACCCAGAAGGCCTTAAGCCAAAGCCTGTTCTTTGTCCACTTGGCCCTGGCTACTCAAAGGGTGGCCCACAGCCCAGCAGCTTTGGCGGCACCTGGGAGCATGTTAGACATGCACAGTCCCAAGCCCACCCGCACCTAAGGAATTAGAATCTGCATTTTAACAAGATCCACAGGGGATGGTTTGCACATTTAAGTTTGGGAAGCACTGCAGTAATAGGCCACTCCACCGGCTGGTGGGGAGTTGAAAGGTTCAGCCACAGGTAAGCTTTGGGCTGCTGGTTTTTCCACTGTAGCGCTCTCTTTTTTCATCCAAAAGTTCCATGAGGTTGGGGTGTAACTCTCCTTCCAAACTGAGAGGGTATGCTACCTGGCCCAAAGAGAATAGAGGGTCCGGAGGCCATCCCAGGATGATTAATTGAAATCAGCCTGGGAACATCTCGGTTGGCTCCCATGATGCCAGATATTCTGTGACCCTGAAATTCTAGCTCTTCTCTCAAGTGCCAGAAATAAGTTTGAAATATTTTTATTTCTGTTTTCCTCAACCCTAACCTCATGGGGTATGTTTTGAGTGTGTGTGTTTGAATGTATGTGTGAAAACAAATGAATCGCCACTGTGTCATCAGTTGCATAGCGTGAGAAAGCATTCCCAGACGTGGAGAAAATGCGGGGAAACTGCAGCTCTGCTCACCAGAGCTGGGGAGCCTCCAGGCTGAAAGTGGCTGAACGTGGTCTGCAGATATGTTTTGTTTGCCCACTGTTAGCCTATAATGCACTTTCGTTTTTTATGGGGTGGGGGTGTGTTACATAAAAATCCGGATTTTTGGCTTATCTTGCAAAATCAGAGTATCTGGCAACAGCAGGCCTGGGTTCCAGTATGGCGACAATTAATTGAAGCCTTAATTGAAACCTTCACTTCTTGTTGCCACTGTCCCCACCTCCCCACCACTCCCTATTGTCTCCTCAATGCTTAACTCAGTGCTGAAACCAAGTGTCAGCTGCCACGGGTTGTTTTATTTATAATAGAATTTAGAGAAAAGTTAACTATTTCTTATATCCATGTCACCCACACATTTATACCACCTGTGGACATATGAGTTTGTAATCACTTGTTTGGACGAAAGTTAGCAGAGCTCCCCTAGGGTCTACAACCTCCTGGAAATTTCTAAATATCTTATAACATGATGTTCTGACTGCTTCCTGAGCTGATGTGGAGAAATAACTTATTAGTGGCATGGTATATGGATATTTGGTGAACTCTCACTGTGTTCCCAGCCCTGTGCTTGAGGCTGTGGATGAGTGAGAGGTATGAAGACAACTTAGTATTCATTGAAGAAATATGCCTTAAACCTGGGAAACAACTAGGGCGTAATGTAAGAGAGGTTATGAGCAAGGAGAGATTAGTCCGGGCAGGAGGGATTTGTGAGGAGGAGGATTTAGAAGGGTAAATAAGATTTAGACTGGCGCCTGGGGAAGAGGGCGGAGCAGGGATGAAGGAGGTTTGGGGAAGCTTAGCTAAGGTTTGTTGGAGCAGGTTTGGGCGGCAGAAGATGATGAGGCAGAGGACTCCTGTTAGAGCAGTGAGAGATTGGGTGAGATGGGTGAAACAGGAAGTTTATGCAGGACCATGCATGCCAAACGGAGTAGATTTGGGCTAGAACCTGGAAACAGGGAACTGGCTGCTGTTTCCAGAATGTGTCACGCTCCCTCATGCAGACCCTTTCTTTTCTTCCTGGAATATCCTCTCTCATCTGTTTCGGCCAGCTCACCTGTACTCACCCTCTGAGGCTCAGCTCACACCTACGCCTCTGGGGCCAGCTTCCTGGGAGGAGGGAGGGGCCACCACCTCCTCCTTCATGCCGCTTGGGCACCCCAGGCATGCGCTTTGAATGCTGCCTGGAAGGAGAGGTTTCCCCATCTGACACCACCAAATTGTAAACTCCTTGAAGGGGGCGTGGTGTCTTTTGACGTGGTGACCCCAAAGCCAACCACAGTGATTGGCACTTGCAAGGTGCTTGTGCCTGCTTTTGAATGAAGAAATGGATGAACGAACTAGTGGAAAATTGCTGCATGCTTGAGGTGAGAAGGATTGGGCTAGGGTAGGATCTGTGGGGGTAGAAATGTAGTGAAGTGTATAAGAACCATTGAGAAGAGAGAAATTGGTAAGACTTGATGCCAAATTGACTATGGTGGTCAGAGAGCCTCAAGGAATTGAAACTAAGGCATGGGAGACGACAGCAGTCCTGGCAGTGCCAGGAAAGTCAGCATGAGGAACTGGAGGGGATCTTGTTCTTGCGTCTGCAGAGCAGAAAGTTCTCATGGTGCCCTGTGTCCTCCCTTACCTGAGCTGTCCTTGTTGGTCTCCATCTTTTTGCTGCTCCTGAAATTCCAGCCATTTCAGGATCAAGGAGATGAAGGTGGAAAGTAAAGTAAAAGAGCATTAAATTTGTATTTCAAATCTTGTTTCTAGTTATGTTTTTCCTGATACCAAAGCTTTAGAGACAGATATAAATATGAAAAGGCCAGCTGTGGCTATGCTGGATGGCTGTGACACATATCAAAGTTCCAGAAGAAAGGTAGGGAAGGGGGAGGCAAAAGGAGGTGGGAGGTGGGAGCAGAGTCCAAGCTGCTGATTCTGCTGCGGAGGGGAGGGCGGTGACTCCATCTGTTCAGTCCTGTATCTCAGCCATTAATTTTATTTGCTGCTAAGTTGCATGTTATTGCCAATGTGCAAAAACTGATAATAATTGCAACCAGACTAGAATGTGCCTGAACGAGCAGAAAAATGACCACCCAGGCCTTGGTTTTGAGAAACTAAAGGAACTAAAACATCTGTATAAAGGACTGAGATAACAGTGAAGTAAAACTTAATTCCCCCCTGCCCCGTTTCTTGCATTCTTCCAATCCGCTTTGTACATGACAGCCCAGACTAGGTTGCCATAGCTCCCTAGCTGGTCTCGCTACATCTCTTCTCTCTCCCTCAAATTAACTGTCACAGCAACCGCTAGCATGACCTTTTCAAAATGTAAATTGGGTCATATGCTTTCCCTGTTTAACATGCTGCTAAGGCTCCCATGACACTTAAAGTCTAAATTCCTTTGCGTGGCTTCCCAGGCTCTGCCTGGTACAGCCCCTGCCCACGTCTGCTTATTCTGCTCCACCACTGCCTGCTCTCCCCACTGGTCTTCAGCCGGGCTGCTTCCTCTGGGGGAAGCCTCAGCATTGCACCTGCTTGCTCCCATCTGTCCGGCCCATCTCTACCCTTTCATCTGTCTGTTGCCTATTTCTCCTTCAGGTCTTGGCCTCCTCTGACCTTCGGGAAATATTAAAAGCTGTCGGTGCCAGAGGGTGCCAGGAGACCCCCAGTAATGCTTCTTCCTTTCTCCCTCTGCTGATTTTGTACTGGGCACAAGGCTATGCAGAATGGAGGGTACATTTCCCAGCCTCCCTTGCAGCTGGGTGTGGCCAGGTGACTCGAGTTGTGGCCAGTGAGATAGAAACAGAAGTCCTTTAAATAGTAATTTAAAAATCGGTGATTTAGTATTTTGAGACAATCAAAAAGTTGCTTCAAAATATCTTGCTGTATTAGAGTCTAGTGCCCTCTAGCTCAGCAATGTGACATCTTGTCCAGAATTTCCTTAATTATAGATCTCTGTGTGATCTACAGAGTGACAATCTCCAGTATATGTCCTTTACACTGGGCAACGGATAGGTCTTTTTCTTGTGTTAATACTTTTCTAGGTCCAGCCCGAGTTGGAGTCAATACTACAAGTTAACATTTATTGAGAGCTTACTTGTATTTGCCTCTAAATCTGCTGAGGAGCGTGCTAAGTACTTGATGCGTATGAGACCATTTGATCTTGATAATATCTGGATAAGGAGGGCATTATTATCATTTCTATTTTACAGATCTGAAAACTGAGGCCTACAAAAGTTAAGCAATATGCTCAAGGGTGCAGTTAGAACAGTGACTTGGGCCCAGGTCTACATGAACTCTTGACCACTGTAAGAGATCACTTCCTCTGAGCCCTACTGGTTTGAGTTTATTACCAGCACTCAGAAAGAAAGGGGGTTTGTTCTGCCTCTGGGCTGCTGGTCCAAATGGTTCCTGTAGTGACAAAAATCTCCTCTCTGACACCTCATTTTCTCTCCTGGTGATATTTACTAATTTATTTCTGTTCTCCCTTTTCTATTAAACCACAAATAATAGGCACTAGGACCCTTGGTCCCACTTCACCTGGCACTGGGTACTCTGGTTGTGGTACCCTCTGGTCTAAATGCTCTCAACTCCTGTCTCTCTCGTACTAACCAGTCTTAAGACTCAAGGCTAAGTCATTGTACATATAGGCACATTTCCTTAGACATGGGGAGGATAGGTCTGTACCACGGAGCTTTCCAGAACAGACTATATATTTACAAGCTCCATAAAGTCCAAGCAGGGACCAGGTGAGTGGGTCCGTGAACCCAATAAGTAGATAATGTTTTAAACAATATTTTGGATATTTCTCTGTAGGACTAGGAACTGGATTAGAAATTAGTTTTTAGAAATTAGGGTTTACTTTTCCACCTGTGTTACTAACTTATTTTCACTGTTGGAGACATAACTTTTCACGTTTTATGAAATTCGTCCTCTGGAGTCAAGCCTACTATGCTTGCTGTGTGAGGTTACAGTGAGCTACAACGCCACAAAAAAAAAAAAAAAAGACTGGATACTGAGTGGCAGCTTTTCATGCCCCCTCCCTGTGCTCATTAAGCAAGATACTTGATTTCTGGATCTCACCGCCCAGACCATCTGGGCTGCACGAAGAAATGTCAGAGGCTGGCCTGATTTAAGTCATGTACCTGAATTGGTTCTGTTGGTGCAAGTCGGCAAAAATCTGAGAGAGAGCCTCGCTCTCCCCCTTGGCCATTAGCTGAATGAGGCTCTCGCTGGGCTGGGAGGCTTGAGGTTTCTTCTGTACTAACTATATGGAGAAAAAACAAAACAAAACAAAACCAGGTGGTTAAGGCCTAAGGGTCTCTGCATATCTCTAATATCATAGTCCAGATTCTAAATTGTTAGAACTCAAACTCTTCCATTGCGCAGCCATACCAGCTTCTCACAGAGGCATTTCTGGGGCCATAACTGTTTGTTTACACTGCTTGTATTGGTATAAATATCCTTCGGTGCCTTAAAGATATGTCATCATTGTACAATTTTCACATAATTTAGTAGATAACCTATTCCTGTTAATATACCTTAATATAATTTATTAATAGCCTATTAATATAAATTTAATAAAGTTTATGCTACTTGGTTTTATATTTAAATGTAGGGGAATCATATATTTATTATAGGAATTTAATGAATGTTTTAAAAATTAATTTGTCTAAGAAAAATCCTATATTGAGCTGCTTTTTACATCTGGGTAAAATTAATTTCTTTCCTGTTGTCTGTGATATCCCAAAGGTGCTTCAGTTGTGCATGCTGTCTATATTCATTCATTCATTCATTCAATATCTATTGAATGCTGACTATGTGCCTGGTACTAGGGATATGGCAGTGAAGAGGACAGATAAAAATCCCTGCCTTCATGGAGTTTATATTGCAGCTCAAGTCAGGCTTATGTTCATCATGCTCAAAGACCTTGGGCAAAACGGCCCAGGTGGCTTCATCGGTCAATTCTATCAAATATTTAAATAATCAAAACTCTTCAAAAACTCTTTCAGAAAGTAGAGGAAAAGGGAACATTTCCCAACTGGTTCAATTAGGCTAATGCTAACTTGATATCAAAGCCAGGGTATCATAAAGATGTCACAAGAAAATTATAGACCAATATCTGTCATGAACACAGATGGAAAATTCCTTAACGAAATGCTAGGAAATGAATCCAGTAACATATAAAAAAATTATAGACACCATGACCAAGTAGAATTTATTGCAGGAACACAAGGGTGGTTTAACATAATAAAAGCGATTAATGTAATATACTATATTCACAGAACAAAGGACAAACCACATGATCATCTCAATAGATGCAGAAAAAGTATTTAACAAAATCCAATACTCATTCATGATAAAAAAAAAAGAATAACCTCAATAAGCTAGGAACAAAGGGAACTTCCTTAACCTCATAAAGCACATCTAAAAATATTCCATAATTAGTGTCATACTTAATAGGAAAGGACTATTTGTTTTTTCCCTATGATTGGGAAATGGCAAGGATGTCTGTTTTGCCTCTTCTATCAAACATTATACCAGAGGTTCTAGCTAATGCAATAAAGCAACAAACAAATAGATCCAGATTGGAAATAAAGAAGCGAAACTGTCTTTATTTGCATAGGCATGAATGTATGTATGTATGTATGTATGTATACATGTATGTATGTAGAAAATCCCAAAGAATCCACAAAAACTACTATAACTAATAAACAAGATTAATATGCAAAAACCAATTGTATTTCTATATACTATCAATGAATAATCCAAAAGTGAAATTTAGAAAACACAATTCCATTTACAATAGCATCAACAACAATAAAATACTTAGGAATACATTTAACAAAAGAAGTGCAGAACTTGTTTACTGAAAACTATAAAACATTTTTTGTTAAATGTTAAATACCGAAAATTAAAAGCATTTATTTTAATTTAAGAGAAATTAAAGAAGATTGAAAGAAATGGAAAGATATTCCATATCCATATATTGGAAGACTCAACATTGTCAAAATGGCACTTTTCTCCCAAAATGATATGTAAATTCAACATGTGTTCGTCAAAATTCTAGCAGGTTTTTTTTTTGCAGAAATTGACAAACTGATCCTAAAATTTATATGGAAATGCAAAAGATCTAGAATAGCCAAAACAATTTGAAAAAGAACAAAATTGGAAGAACTTATTACCACCCATTTTCAAAACTTAATATAAAGCTATATAAATCAAGACATTGTGGTATTGGCACAAGAATAGGCACATACATCAACAGAACAGAACTGAGAATTCAGAGATAAATTCTTACATTTATGATCAATTGATTTTTGACAAAGGTGCCAAGACAAGTTAATGGGGAAAGGATGGTCTACTACTTAGATCCTTCCCTCATTCCATGCATACATATTAACCCCAAATGGATCATAGACATAAATGTAAGAACTAAATCTACAAAACCCCTAGAAGAAAATATGGGATAAAATCTTTGTGACTTTAAGTTGAACAAAGAATTTTTAGATATGCATCAAAAACCTGATCCATAAAAGAAAAAGTTGATAAATTACACCCCATCAAAAATAAAAGTTTCTTCTCCTCAAAAGACATCCTTAAGAAAATGAAAATTCACAGACAGGGAGAACATATTTGCAAACCATAAACCTGATAAAGGACTTGTATCCAAAATACACAAAGAATTCTTACAATGCAGTAAGACAAAACCCAATTTAAAAATGGGCAAAAGATTTGAATAGACATATCACCAAAGATGATATACAAACATTGAATAAGCCCATGAAAAGTTCTTCATCATTTGTCATTACAGATATCCAAATTTTTTTTCTTATAGCAACCACCAGCACACAGATATCCAAATTAAAACCACTACACACCTGCTAGAATGGTTACAATAAACAAGATAGACAATACCAGTATTGGTGAGGATGTGGAGAAACAGAAACCCTCATGTATTGCTGGTGAGAATATAAAATAGAACAGCCACTTTGGAAAATAGTTTGCCAGTTTCTTTAAAAGTTAAACATAAACTTCCCACATAACCTGGAAATTTCATTCCTTGGAATCTACCCAAGACAAATGAAAATGTATGTCTACAAAACCTGTACACAAATGTTCATGGCAGCATTATTCATAATAGTCCCAAACTGGAAACAATCCAAATGTCCATCAACCAGTGAATGGATACAAAAATGTGGTAAATCTATTCGGCACCTGAAAAGAACAAACTACTGATAGCTGTGCTTCTGCCCTGGAGTGGGCTCCATGCTACAATGTGGATGAACCTGAAAAACATTATGCTAAGCCAGACACAAAAGACTGTATGTTGTATAATAGGATTCCATTTATACGAAATATCTAAAAAAGATGAATTTATAGAGGTGAAAATAGATGGTTGCCTAGAGCTGGGAGTAAGAACAGGGAATGACTGCAAATGGGCAAGAGGGAATTTTTAGGGAGATGGAAATGTGCTAAAACTGGATTGTGGTGATGGCTGCACAATTCTACACATTTACTGAAAGTGTTGAACTGTACACGTACAGTGGGTGAATTTTATGGTTGTAAATGATACCTCAATAAAGCCTTTTAGAAAAGGCATAAGGCTGAGATCACCTTCATAGGGTGCTCACATACCAGCTGGCGTAAGGTCTACCTCTCAACTCTGGCCTTAGCTGAAGGCTGGCAATGGTGTTCCCTTACCTTGGAGTCTCCTGAGGGGCTGCAGCAGTTCTTGGGTACCAGGCAGTGAGTGACAAGAATCTTAGGGTCTTTGGTGGTGATGGACAGACCCTTCTGCAAAATTTGAACCAGTCGGATCCAGAAGTGGAAGACAGTCGCAGGATGGTTGGGGTGGAGCTTTAGGTAATAGATCTTCTCAGTGACTGTCCTCAACCGCAGGATGCGCTGAAGGCGGTCACAGACCTGGAGCTCCACAAACTTCAATGGGAGAATCCTGAAGCCACCAGGGAAGACACACATTGACAATCCCATTGCTTCTGATCTGACCCTATCTTCATTAAAACAAGGAATGTCTCCTTTAGGACTGAGGCTTTGGATGTAGAAGAAAGGCTGCTTAGCACAGTGGTGCTAAAATGTTGGGGAGATCAGATATACCTGGGGAGGTTGTTTAACATGCAGACACCTGAATACACCCGCATAGGTTCAGATTTAGTAGGTCTGGGGTATGGCCCTGGCATGATTCTCATGCTGGTAACTCCTGGACCCTGCTCGAGAGAGGCAGCCTAGGAGTAAGGTGGCTGGAGTTGTAGAGTTTTGCAATTTCCTTCTTGATAGCACCAAGGGAGCTGGCCCCACTGTCCAGCTTGCCCATTCATTGACCTAATGCTTCAATTACTCTTCCCAAAGGAGCTAAGGTCTAAGGAGCTGGCTTTGGATCTAATATTAGCTGGGACTGGGCTGTACTTGCTAGAGGCACACTAAGAACATAATGAAGAGGTTCGTCACTAAGGTAGCACGGAGAAATGCAGGGTTTTCCTGGACTTCTGGGAATATCTAGAGATTCTTGAGACATACTACAGATTATTCAAAGAGGCTCAAACATGAAAAAGGGCTGTTTCAACCCAGACAAGTATGATGTCACTATACATCAGAGTTTTAAGTGAGACTTAGTCCCATTCATTTTACCAATAGGAAAACTGAGGTGCAGCAAGTGACTCATGATTCAAAAATTGCATACGAAGGACTAGAACGAACCTGCCTCTCTCAACCCGTGCTCATCTGCCAGAGCTCCATGCCTCCTTGCCACTTGGCCAAATGCTGAGAGCTTTCCTGAGTTCAGCTGGGTGAGTGCAGTGAGAAGAAAAGTGGGTATGTAGACTGACCCCTCACTCCTGTCCACGTGATACCTCCCTCAGCCACTTGACCTCTGTCCTTCCAGCACACCACCTGTCTCGGGTTACGGTTGACTACAACAATTAATGTCACTGCTGATGACTTCTCTGCTTTCTCTCCACCCTGATTTTAGTCACCAAGCAGCCTCCACTTTGGATCCACCCTTCACTCGTGTCCTCCATTCCCATCTTTGTTGCTTACCTCTTCAGGATGATGTTTGGGGCTGTAGATGGTCTGTTCCATGTCTGGCTCTGCCCCTGGTGCCATTTGACGCTGGCCATGAGGAGGACGTTGGGAAGGGGCAGGCAGGGCACAGAGGAGGTCACCCCAAGGGCCATGGTGTTGGAGGCCTTGTAGATATCTATCCAATTCCTGCCCCTTTTGACCTGCAATGCAGCCCCCAGGCACAGCCTGAGCATTTGGCAAAAGCAGCAGTATGATTTAGCCAGGGATTCTCAACCTCGGCACTATTAACGTTTTGGGCTGGATATTCTTTGTTGGATGGTGGTGGTCTGGGGGGCTGTCCTACTCATTGTAGAATGCTTAGCAGCATCCTTGGCTTCTACACACTAGATGCTAGTAGCACCCCCCACCTCCCAAACCAAATTGTGACAACCAAAAATATCTCCAGACATTGCCAAATGTCCCTTGGCAGTGAGAGACAAAAATCACTGCTTGTTGAGAATCACTGTTTTAACCTATATTGGTTAAACAACTGTAATAGCATTTAAATGACCTACTATTAAAAATTGCCCACAAGAACTATAACCCAGGAGTTCTCTGGCATTTATTATATTCCTATGAATCCTCCCTGGACTGTTTTCTGGCCTTCCTTTGGAAAATTTGCCCTCTTAGCCCTTCTCTGAGGAGTTCTATTATTTCCTGCACCTTCTCTGAACAGGAAGGTCCCTTCCAGCTTCAAAGTTCTGTTTGTTCTGGATTCCATCGGGCCTGAGGAGAGCCCAGGCAAGGAAACAAAAATGCACTGGGTGCCTGTTAGACTAGGTACTTTGCTTGCTGTATTTGCATTCAATTCTCAGGTCAATCCAACCCTTTTACAATAGAGGAAATGATTCAGGGTTCTCTGGTTACTTGCACAATGATGCCTCCCCAAGGGGAAAGCAGAGGACTGGAATCTGAGCCCAGGTCCCTCTGGGTCTTAAGGACCTGTTTTTTCACTAATCAGCATTTCTGTTCCTAATCCTTAAAGGGCATCTCATTTCACTGCCTTTTTGTGCATCTGCTTTGGGTGACAGCCTGGGGGATGAAGAAAACTGTGGACTTAAATACCAAATCCTCTGCTCAGGGCAGAGAACTCCGACCTCTCTCCCCAGGTGACCACTGTGTGCAGAAGTAGCCCTGTCTACGGCTCTGCAAAGCCCAGGTAAATGAGGTAGCCTTGCATTCCAGGCCCGATAACTTCTTCTGGCCTCAATTCTCACTCCACTCTAGTTCCAGGGATGGACTCTCTTGGTCACATTTGGGAACAGGTTTAGAAGAATCAAGAAATGCTATTCTGAGCCACCCAAGCGTACCTGGACAAAGTTGCTTTCAAACACCACGGAGTCAGGAAACAGGTTGAATTCTGGAGAACGAACCTTCTGGCAGAGCAGTCCCTCCTCCACACCCAAGCCCACTCCAGGGTTCTGTTCCCCATCCACAGGCAAGAGGCCCCTGAATTCTTCCCAGGCATTCAGGGAAGGGAAGGTTGGATAGGATCTTGTGACTTTTACTGTCTTCTTCAATTTCCACCAAGTGTTTCTATGTGTAACTGATGACATTTCTACACATGCTTAGGGGCCTGCTGCACATTTGTCCTGGGATCTGTCTCTTCCCTCCTGGCCTTGGGCAGCTGGCCAAGCCCTGGGACCACCAGTCAGCTCACAATGATGAATGGATGACATCATGAAAAACCAGCGCAGGCCTTCAGGAAAGGGAAATGCAGAGGAGCCTCCCTTTTCCTCCAGAGTGTTTTTCTGACTTATTCATGCCCTGACATTCCCCAGGCCTTGTGGGGACCCCAGGACATAGCTCTCCCAGAACTTGCTGAGAAAGCAGTGAGCCAGGAAGACAGCAAGGACGGAGGGTCGTCAGGAAGCTCCTCTGCCACTAAGAGGAAAATGCCCTCCCTGCCTTTCAACCCTCCCTTACTCTGAATGCAACCTACCCCAAACTTTCAGGACTGCCTGTCCATGGGAAACCCAGCCTTCCTGAGCTTCGCATGAGGCCTGCCCTCCACACCCTGGGGGATCTGCAGCAGCCTTCTCTGCTTATGGAAGCAGTTGCAGGGCAGTTGGTGCCTGCTCTGTGCTCTGCTACGGCGGTCTGGTTCCTTTTGCAGGGCTTATTTCCTGTAGGAGGTCAAACAGAAGGAGCAGGAGAAGTAATTAGTTTCTTACCCAGAGGCTGGCTTGTGAGGGCGCCAGCTGGGAGGAGTAGAACCCTGAGGAGCAGCTCTGCTCGGATCAGCAAGCCATGCCCTCTCAGAGTGACAGCACCCCTCATCCTTGAGCCAGAGGAAGAAAGAGCCCAAATCTTCGGGTAGCTAGATCAGGGGCAAAGAACCAAGCAGGCTGACCACTATCCAAGCCCATTTCTGGGAGAAATTGTATTCTAATTTGGACAAAAGAATCCCAGACTTTACTTATATAAAGTATTAACTATCAAGGCCAAATGTGACAAATTTAGAAGAATAGTTTGACAACCATTATGCACAAAGGTCAAGCTGGGAGTTGACTTTTGCAATCATTGTAAAGTCAAGGAGAGGGCTGATGCACCAGGACGCTTTCTCATCTGCTTCCGTCGGCCCTCACACCTGGTAATTTAGATCACATCTCTGCTCAAGCACCTGTTACAGCTCCCAGGTCAGTGAAGCAACTTCTGAGCTCACTTTCCACGTTTTCTTTTGTTTACTATGTGGGGAAAATGGCCTCCAGGGTTACATTCTCTAAGAATAGGGTCAGAGACCACATCCTGTGGTTTGCATTTCTCTAGAAACAGCCTGGAAAGGGACACACAGTATAAAAGTGATGGTAATTAATAAACAGATTCGTTGCTTTTCATAGTCAAGGCTTAACCACAACAAAGCTTATTGGTTTAGATATGCGGCTTGGATATATTTGGCCATTGTGATATTCCAGAGTCGATTGGGAAGAGGACTTCTTCTCTTTTCCATACAGGTGTGTTAAGCCCACTTCTGTGGTATTCCTTAACCCTCAGTGGAAGAAGGCTTGAGCACCCAGTCTGGAAAGCTAACTGTAAGCAGGAGAGTTTTTGGCTCTAAACAAGATGCTAAGCAATTGTATAAATGGGTGCTTTAAGATATCTACCCCTTCCTCCTGCCCCCATCAAACCTCAGAAACCAGCACATCGAATCTTTTTAAAAACCATATGACAGATGCTTAGTTGTCTATCCCAATATCTATTGTCTCCATTCCTTTAGTAGTAAAATACCTGATTTTCAGTTGGGCACAAGCTCTTCTGGAAGAAAGATTATATTTCCTGGCCTGCCCCCTTGCAGCTAGGTCAGGCCACGTGACTATGTTCTGGCAGAAGAGATGTAAGCTCGAGTGTGAGGTACAATTTCTGGGAGGAAGCCTTGTGCATTCAGTGATACTGATGCTGCCACAGTCACTGCTCTTTGCACGTTTGGTGATGAGAACTTTGTTGACAATCTCCTCAACTATATTGACCATCCTTCGGTTTGAGGATAAAGCCACTTTGTCAGTGCAAGGGGTCATTTCAAAGCTTGCACAGGTGTTACCAGGATATCTGGCTGTAAGGTGGGGCTGGACCCAGGTTTTGAGGAACTTAAAGCCCATACAATTTTGGAAACCTTAAAAATAAGAAGACTGAGTGGAGGGAAGGATGGGGAGTTACTGTTTAATGGGGACAGAGTTTCAGTTTGGAAGATGAAAAAGTTCTGGAGGTGGATGGTGATGATGGTTGCACAACCATGTGAATGTACTTAATGCCATTAAACTGTACACTTAAAATGGTTAAAATGGTACATTTTATGTTATGTCTATTTTACCACAATAAAAAGGTGCTAGACCTTTAAACATAAAATAAAACCCCCACAAAAGTATGATACAAAATTGCTAGAGGTCCTCCTAGAGCCTTGTAAGGCCCACGTGGAATTAGAGGCTCTGAAGCTTAAACTTTATTATCTTCACAGTAAGTCTGTCCCATTTAAATCTATGTCACTATTTAAAACACTCTATTATTACATAAGCAGTACATATGCTTTGTTGAACATTAGAAAATGCAAACAAGTTGAAAAACAACCACCTAGAGAACACCGCTACAACAACCGTGTGTGTGCGTGTGTGTAAAACCAAATATCATACTCTAAAGTTGTTTTATAACTTTTTAATAATCTGTTTCATTTAGTTAACACCCTCTGCTTTTGTATTTCACTATATTTCATCTTATCTCATCCAATTTCCAGGCCATATTATAATTTCTCCAATTTACTCAAATTATTATTACAGCTGGACAAATCAATACCCAATCCAGGCTCACATATTTCCCCTTAGTTTATTTTAATCTAGTATAGTCCCTTTTTTAGGACACTGATTAGTGAAAACAATTGAGTTGTCCTACAGAATGTCTCACCTTCTAGATATGTCTGTTGCATCCTTGTGGTGATGTTTAGCTTAATTCTCTAGTCGCTAATTTTCTGTAAAATAGAAGTTATATCTAAAGGGTTTTTAGATTCAAGGTAAACATTTTTCTTTTTCTTTCTTTCTTTCTTATTTTTTTTCCAGACAAAGTCTTGCTCTGTCACCCCAGCTAGAGTGCCATGGCATCAGCCTAGCTCACAGCAACCTCAGATTCCTGGGCTCAAGTGATCCTCCTGCCTCAGCCTGCCAAGTAGCTGCCACTATAGGCGTGTGCTACCACATCCAGCTAATTTTTTAAGTTTTTGTAGAGATGGGGGGGGTCTTACTCTTGTTCGGCTGGTCTCGAACTCCTGACCTCAAGCAATCCTTTGGCCTTGGCCTCCCAAAGTGCTAGGATTACAGGTGTGAGCCACAGGTGTGAGCACCTGGCCATTTTTTCTTTTTCTTTTTCTTTTTGTTTTTCTTTTCCTTTTTCCTTTACTTTCCTTTTCTTTCCTTTCTCTTTCCTTCCTCCCTTTCTCCCTCCCTCTTCCTTCCTTCCTTCCTTCTTTCCTTCCTTCCTTTCTTCCTTCCTTCCTTCCTTCCTTCCTTCCTTCCTTCCTTCCTTCCTTCCTTCCTTTCCTGACAGAATCTCATTCTGTTGCCCAGGCTAGAGTGCAGTGGCACAATCACAGCTCACTACAGCCTTGAACTTCTGGGCTCAAGGAATCCTCCTGCCTCAGTTTCTCAAGTAGCTGGGACTACACATGTGCACCCCCACGCCCAATTAATTTTTAAATTTTTTTTCTAGAGATGGGGTCTCACTATGTTGCCCAGGCTGGTCAAGGCAGACACTTTTTAAAAACTAAAATAGAGTCACTATTTTTAGTAACGATATACCATGGGATCTATGCGAAATACTACTTCCTCTCCCAAAGAATGTTGGGAGGAAAACATGTATAATAACTTCATATTGAGAGCGAAATGATTCCAGGAGGAAAATATTTGACAAGAATCCTCTCTATACTCTCAAGGAAATTAAACATAATATGGACCCTGTGAAATAAAAAATTAGAGAAATCAAAATAAGATGAAAAGGGGACTGGA